AGGTACTGGGTGTTGGAACTTCAACACAGGACTTTGAGGGGAGGGGCACAATTCGGCCCATCGCAGGGAGTATCCATACTTTAGGCAGACTGGAGCCAGGCACACAAACGATGTCCACCAGAGTATTTCTCCATCTCCGGCTTTGCTGCTGCAGCGTTGACTTGGTCTCTGGATGTTTCCCTCCACCTAGTGGGCACGGTGGCCTACAGCAACCTCAAGTTCACAGCCTCCTATCTTAGCCGAAAGAGAACTTGTCTTTCTCTCTGGTACATTTATCCACCCCAGAGGTCACTCTTATGGTCCCTGCTTGAGTCTCAGACCCGTCCTGGACCCGTGACCATGTGCAGGTGGGCCAGGTACTTTGATGACCTGGCTAGCCTAAGTCTGTGTATCCTGCCTTGTGCATTCCCATGGAAACCACAAGAAAGGCTCCTCCCCATAGTTCCTTCTCACTCCTTGCACCTCCTGACCAACCCTGGTGCTTCCCCATGTGGCCCTGCATGGCATGGCTGCCCCCTCTTCAGGGAACTTGGGGGTGACAAACTGTCTTTTCAATGGTGGTCGTTTCCTGGTCTGTTAGCTTCACCATAGCCGCATACAAATAAAATCCCAGGTACACGTTAAAAGACCTCTGGAAGAGCCAGACTGGGCAAAGCAGGGGGCCCCCTGGGCAGGCCCGCAGTTACAACAGAACGCTGTACAGCTGGGAAGGTGCAGAAAGCCCTTCCTACCCTACGCACAAATACGCCAGAAATGGCAAAAGAAAGAAGAAAGGTACCAAAAAAGACTTTCTTCCCAAGGAAAACACTTTTTATTCATACCGAGACACGAGAAGGCTGGGGAAAAAACGCAGAGGAAAGGCACAGTCAGGAAGGGCCACCAGGCTGGAGGGCTAAGACTTTGTCCTGGGAGCCATGGGAAAGAAGGTTTGGGGGCAAGGGAGGGGCAGGGTCAGCTCTGGGGTGGGGGCCAGGAAGGAGGCTGGGAAGAGGGCCCAGGCCAAAGGCATGTATCTGCACCCCCATTTGATGAAGGAAGGGAAGGGCTGCTCACAGAACCCCCAAATGCAGGGAAACTCAGTCTTCTGACCTCCAGCCTCAGGGCTCTGCCTCGTAACAGGGGTGGGGAACTGATCACAGTATTAACCACAAAGTTCACTGTCTTAGAAAGAGTATGCTTAAGCAGTGGGCAAAGAGTCAGATCCCCAAGGACGAAGAGGCCCTGATCCTCCAGAAACCAGAGCCGCCAGAGGAGCCAGAAACATCCAAGGAGGCCAAAGCTGAGACTTTATCAGACTCAGCTGGAAGTAAGTCCCTGGGACTGTGGGAGCCCAGGCCATCTACCGGCCAGGCTGCTGCAGCACCCAGGCCACCAGGGCCACTCTCGCCAAACAACAGACACCCCCCCGGGACCCCTGGACCCTCCAACCCAGAGCGCCAGGGCTGGAACCCAGAGGGCATATGTTTTCGGGGAGCTCTCCAGCTCATTCCAATGCATGACCCCCAGCACAGAGAACCAGGGCTGGGCCTTGGCCTCTGTCCGGTTGGTTCTTTAAGCAGAGCTTCCCTTCCAGCAGCCCAGCCTCTGTCTCACAGAGGCGGCCACTTGGTCCAGGCAGCCACGGCTCTGCCAGAAAAGGACAGCACAGACTAGGAAGGGAGCGTTATTAGTTTGCTCAGGCTGCAGTAACAAAGTACCACGGACTCTGAGTAACTTAAACAACAGAAAGGTGTTTTGTTTTGTTTTTTTTTTTTATGAAAAAAACAAACTTCTAGCTTCTGGAAGCTAGAAGTTCTGAGATCAAGGTGTAGGTGGGGCTGGTTCCTCCTGAGGCTTCTCCCCTTGGCTTGCAGATGGTGGTGCAGTCCTCCAAGTGTGGGTCTGTGTCCTGAGTTCCTCTTCTTGTGAGGAAATCATTCCAACTGGATGAGGACCCACCACCCGAATGACTTCATTTTACCTTAATTATCTCTCCAAAGGCCCCGTCTCTGGATACAGTCACATTCTGAGGTCCTGGCGTTAGGGCGTCACCGTATGAATTTGGGGCAGGAGGTGGTGTGGGGAGGGACGCAGTTCAGCCCATAACAGAGTCTTTTGGGAGAGAGCTGGATGCCACCATTTGTGGGAGGCCCAGAGAGAGGAAGGGACTTCCCCGGGGCAGAGAAATGTCAAGGTCTGGTTCTCCCTCAGTCTAAGGTGAGAAAGGAGGCTCGAGAGTGGATGGTGACCAGCTTGTGGTTTGCAGATGTATAGATTCGCCCTCCGGTCGGACCGGCGCAGACCTGCAGGGCAGGACAGTGACTCCATCTCAGACTAAGATGAGAGGTCACTGCCAGGCACTCACCATTCACGCCGCAGACATTCCCCCGAGGCCACCGAGGCCACCGTGTGCAGGCCTCCATCAGCCACAGTCTGCTCCCTGCCCTCCGGAGCAGGTGTGAATACCAAGCACCAGGAGCACCAGGAAATGGACTATTGCTATTGCACCAGCCATGGGGGGCACTTGAACCCAGAGTGACAGTGACTCTCCTACGGCCTCAGGGAAAACCACGGATCAAATCCAGCCTCCGCATTCCACAGTGAGAGAAACTGAGACCCGTAGGAAGGAAGGGGCTGAGACACTAAAAAGAAAAGGACTTCTGTCTTTGGGGACATTGGGGCTCCTGAGACCCCATCCTCCACACTCGGTTTTGCAAACAGGGACACTAAGGCTCGCAACGCCTGAGGCCGCACAGCAAGACTGTGCCCTGCTGAGGACCTCTGAACCCTAGGTCATCTTCTCCTAACCCTATAGGACTCTAGTGCAAGGGCTGTAAACTCAGAATTCCACTGGGCCAGGCAGGTAACAAAACGAGTTGCAGGAGGCCTGGTGAGTCCATGTGGAGAGCAGGCACCCCACCTGAAGAGGGTGCCCAACCGCGGTGAATTCTGCTCTCACTCCTCCCCCCACGCTTTGCCCTGCTGCCCACCTCCCAGCAGGAACAGGTCTCTATTGCTGGATCTGAGTCTTTTTTTTTTTTTTTTTTAAGAAGAATCCAGAGATTCAGGTTTCAGTGTGAAATCTCTAGACTCAAACACGTTAATAATTAAAGTTCTGTTGTTAAAAGCAGTGTGGATCCCAGAGAAGCCTCTCATTTGCAAATCTGATTAGAAGCACAAATAGGGAAGGGACACCCTCTCTCCAAACCCAGGTCCTGCCAAAAGGAGGTGTCTTTATTCAGAATGCAAACCTCTTGCCAAGTGTGGATGGAATCCCCAGATCCTGGGCAGAGTCTGCTTGGGTGTGGAAGGGTAAGGAAGTTTCCCCGGGTAGAGAAGGATGTTCCCGGTGCCCTCCCCGGGCGGGGGTGGGGTGGGGGGGAAGCCCTGCCCTAGCAAAGCTTACATTCTGGAAGTGGGGCCTGAAGGAGGGGCATGATTGAAAATAAGTGAACGCACGAAATAAGGGAATAATAAAAACTAGGGAGAAAGCAAAACAGAATTGTGACCGAGATACTGTCTTGGAAGTGGGGGTTCCTTTGCAGAGCCCAACCAACAAAGGCTTGTCAAAGGGGGACCTAAATGCTAAGAAAGAAGCTGGTGCCGATCCCGCGAGAAGAGAGGACAGCCCTGGGGCTGGAACAAGTTTGGCCTGTGGAAGGAAGAGAAAGGAAGGCGGAGCAGCTGCCTGGTGTCTGGGGCAGGGCAGTGCTCAGGGGCTGTTGATGGAAAGTGGTGGGAGCCGGGAGACCAGGGCTTTGGCTGCTGTAAGTCAGAGCAGCCCTACAGGGGCAGATGGTGGCAGCTCAGAGCAAGGTGGGGGAGGGGTAGAGGGCAGAGCTGAGATCTGTTTAGGAGGCAAAGCCAGCTCCTCTTGCAGACAGACTGAATGGGGTGGGGTGTGGACTGAGGACGCATATGCTTTTGAGGTTAAGACACCCCCCATGGGACGGCTTTAAAAGTCCCTGCCTTCAGCCGCCCCAGCCATGGAGCAGGCTCAGAGACTGTTCTCCTTCCTCTGTGTGAGGGACAGAGGCAGGAACCCTTCACCTGGTGGTCCAGGAAGGACCGTGCCTAGTGAACGGATGCGTGGTGGGCCAGGAAGAAAGAAGGAACTGCTGGTTGTCCGGGTGCTGGGCAGGGTCTTTGGGAGGTGGCTCCACCTTGCAGGGGAGGACGCTGAGGTTCTGAGGAAAGAAGTGACTTGTCCAAGGTCACAGAGCCAAACCCGTGAAAGAATGGGGGCAGGGGGCTTTTTGCACCTAAGCCTTGAACTACCAGCCCCTCCGCACTCCCAGCCCCCAGACTGGGTCCCCCAGTGCCTCCCCATTCCCTGGTCATCCTGGGCCTGAGCAGTGGGATGGCAGGAAGGAGAAAATTTCATCCCTAGAGTCAGTGTTATTCATGGCAGTAGATAAGCTGAACTGTGACCCACAGGAAAAGGAGGCCGCGGGGCGGGGGTAGGGGCCTGGACTCCTGGGTCGGAGGGGGACGGACCCGGGGCCTGGACCCCTGGGTCCGAGGCGGCAGAACGGGGACCTGGAGCCCCGGGACCGAGGGAGTGAGGACCGGGGCCCTGGACCCCTGGGTCCGAGGGAAGACGACATTGGGACTGAGGCAGGAAGGAGGTGGGCTCGGGGAGAAGTGTCCCCGACCCCGGGTTGCGGGGACCGAGGGGGGCGGACCCGGGACGCCGGGGGCGGGCGGGGGTAGGGCCCGGCCGCAGTAACAAAGGCCTCTCCCTCCCACAGGCAACCCCCCTCGGCCCCGCCTCCCCAGCCCCCCGCCTGCCCTGATTGGCCGGTCCTCCTGCCCGTCAGCGCCGCCCCCCTCCCTGGGTCTGCAGCAGCTCCGGCCGCCTCGTCGCGCCCCCCCAGCCCCTTCCCCCGCCCCCGCCGCCCCCCCGGGCCGGTGCAGCCGCTGGCGGGGTCCCCCTCCCCCTCCCCCTCTCCCCCCAGGACCTGCGCGCCCCGGGACGGCCCCCCCTTCCCCCTCCCCCTTCGCGCCGCCGCCGCCGCCGCGATGCCCCCCCCTGCGCCCGGGGCCCGGCTCCGGCTCCTCGCCGCCGCCGCCCTGGCCGGCCTGGCCGTCATCAGCCGAGGTACCGCAGCGCCGGGGGCGGGGGCTCGGCCGGGACGCCGGGGTCCCCGGCGGGGACAGGGGGCGGGAGGGGGGCTGCATCCGCGGACGGGGAAGGGGAGGCCCCGGGACGCGAGGTCTGGGCCCTGGGGCGGGGTCTGCACCCCGGGCCGGGCTGGGGGTCCTCGCACGAGTGGGTGCGTGCCCCGGGGCTGGTCCGCACCCCGGGCCGGAGCCTGGGCCTGGAGGCGGAGGTCCGCTGCTCCCGGTCAACCGGGGAGAGGGTCTCGGACACCCGGCCCCGGCCTGGGGGCGGGAGTGTGCGGCTCCGGACCCGGGAGGGGGACCCGACGAGGGAGGAAGGGGCCCCGGGCGGGATCTCTGAGCTGAGTTGGGGTGTAGGGCTAGAGGGATGCCCCCTCGGGGGTCGTCTCTCTGCGTGGAGAGGGTCCCTGAGGGGGTCTTGGCCTGACGGCCAGGGGGGTGTTTGTGTGGGCAAAAGTGGGGGGATGGCGTCTTCCCCGGGTCAGTATGGGGAGGGGGCAGGGGTGTCCAGAGACCTCAGTCCCAGGGCCAGGAGGCGGTGGGGGCCGGGGGGTCTGGTCTCTCAGCCAGGAAGAGGCTGGAATTCCCCAGCTGGGTCACAGAGGTTGGGACAAAGTGTTGGTATTTGGGGAGTTGCAGTTATGTGGGCGAACGGGGGTCCAGAAAGTTGGGGTGCTGAGCTGGGGACTCGGATGTGGGGAGCTCTGGCTGAACGCCTGGGGTCTTTGGGGCCGGACTGGAGCTAGAGCGCCGGGCAGATTGAGGCGGAAGGAGGGGGCTCACGCAGGGTCAAAGGGTGAACAGCCTCCCAGTGGGGGAGGGGGCCGCGGGGCGGTCGGCGGCGCAGGGAGGGGAGAATGGAAAGTGGGGGCCTCAGGGGGTGCACCGGGCAATCTCTGGAGTGAGGATGTGTAGCTGGACCTTGTGTTTTCCCAGTGGGGGTGGGGCTGCAGCACCGAGGGTCCAGGAGATGCCCCCCTCCCGGGGGGCGGGGGGGGGCGAGCAAGGACCGGAGACCAGGAACAGTCTTAATTCAGTGTTTCCAGAGGATTCCCCTGGGCCCTGCCTCCAAACAAGGGTCACAGAGTCAGGGACACACAGTCGGGGACAGGCTAGAGCCCCCACCAGTCTGAGTGAGGCAGCTGTTCTCCGCCTCCCGCCCACACACACCGGGTCCCGCACAGCCTCCTAAACGCCCACGCTGGGTCCCACTAGGAGCGCACCTGCAGCCGCCCACAGTCACCCCACCGCGGCTGCCCGCACGCAGGTCAGAGGTCAGCCCGCGTCCGCGGGACGCGGGTCCCCGGCGGGTCCGGCGTTGTTCTCTTCCTGGTGCCCACCGTCTGAGCGCTTCTACCCCTGACCTGCCTGTGTGACTCACTGACTTTCTGACTATGCGCCTGTGTCTCGCTGTCTCTGTCACTTGTCTCTTTGCGTCTCTCTAGGCGTCTCAGCCACTTCCGGAGGCTCCCTGGCTCTGGGTGACATTCCCTCTGTCTGTCTCAGGGCCTCTGTCTCTCCACCCCTGCTGGTCTCAGCACAATTTCACATCTGTCCCTCCCTGCCTCTGGAGACGCTTCCCGTTGTCACACCAAGAGTGTCTCTCTCTGTCCCTTCCTGGCTCTCTCATGCGGGCCTTGGTCCTCATTTACTTGTAGAGATTCACCAGCACCTCTCACTTTTCTCACTGTCCTTGTGCCTGGCCTTCTCCCTTCACCTCCCCCTACACTCTCTCTCTCTTTACGCCCAAGATAACTTCCCACTTTTCCACTCTTCAGGACCCAAGACATCCTCCTGTGTGCATGTCCTGGGCTGGGAGCTTAGTAGAGCCAGGAGGTGGCCCATGACCTAGGCTGGGTGCTTCCCCACCTCTGTGCCTCAGCTCCCGACCCCCCCCCCCCAGACAGTGGGGCTCCCTGAGAAAAAGCTGATGGGAGGAGGTACACAAAATTGCATCTCCTCTCTTCCGTTTTCCTAATGGTGGAAGGAGTTTCTGAAAATTACCAATCCCTTACAGCAGGGAAGACCCGACCCCCCCCCCTCACCTTGCTCCCCTTGTGCAGACCCTCTCACTTAGACAAAGTGGGGCCCTCAAAGTGCCACGTCGGGAAGGGATTGCTTTGTGCGTTGATGCTTTTCCCAAGATAGAAACAAAATAAATCCATTTCTCTGCAGTTGGCCCTTTTTTCTACCTTTTTGGCATCCATAGATATTGTTCTATGTTTGCTTTCCTCCCCCACACACGGGACAGTTCCTGAGTGCACTGGCTGGTGGTGAGGTCTTGTTGGAGGGAGAGAGCAGGGCGGACCCAGGCATTCGAACCAGGGTCCATCTGTCTTGTCTGGAATGTGGTCTCAGCTCATCCGTTGCCTTTGCACATACTTGCCCAGCAGTGTCTATTCTGGGCACGGTGGGTCTGCACATCACAGGCAGATGACGTCACTGCCCTCACGGAGCTTAGATCCCAGCGGGACAGAGAGAGAGCAAAAAACTGAAAACAAAAATCTAAAAACAAGGCAGCAAGTAAATAGGTAATTTCAGAGAATGACGGGTAACGGGAATAAAATTCGGGACAAGCTGGCCATGTGGGCTCTGAGGTGGTCCAGGGAGCCCTCTCTGAGCAGCGGAGAGTGCATGCAGTTCAGACGGAAAGAAGTGGAGAGGTCAGCCTTTGAAAGACCCCGAGGGAACAGCAGGGGCAAAGGCCCTGTGGTGCGAACTAACGGAAATTTCCAGTGCTCTTGGCATAGGTGGTTCAGACTCGGCGTCAGTGATGCAAAGACCCCTGGACTTCCAAAGTCAGTAATTTCGAGACAGAGGAGTCAGGGGCTCTTCTGTGGAAGCCAGGCCAGGACCCACCCCACTTACTGCTCTTCCCCTCCCAATGTCTCCCCACCCCCCCACCCCCGGCCAGCCACACTACTGCCACTTACACACATTTCTGGGCTTCAAGGTCTCCATCTGTGGGTTTCAGGATGGTGGAACCCGAGCATCCCCCCCTCACTGGAGAGTCTCAGTTTTGCCTAAGTTCCTTGCAGGGGTGCCAGGAGATTCCTACCCCCCACAGGCAGGAGTGCCGTATCACAGCCCGGACACCAGGCAGAAGGGCTGGGCAGTTCTGTGTGTGGGAAAGACCCCTTTGGCAAAGGGTTTTTCTGTATTTCGGCCTGCTGGGATGTTGGGTTAGGGCCTTGGATGTGGGTGTGGGGTCCAGTCTCCACCGCACTGCCCTGGTCTGTGGGCCCAGCTCCCATGGCGGCTCCTCGCGGGGGCAGGGGCTGAGCCCAGAAGCGCTGGGTTCCGCGATGCCTGTCCAGCACCTCGGACAGCTCCCTCCTCACCCCAGGCTGGGTGCCCCTCCTTTCAGCGGAGGCAGCAGCTGTCATGGGTGGGAAGGGGTTTGTTTGGCCCCCGAAGGGGCATTTAGCGATGACTGGAGGCATTTTTGGTTGTCACCCCGGTGCGGGGGGAGGAGCTGCTGGCATCTGGAAGGTCAAGGTCAGGGGTGCTGCCGCACATCCTGCACCGCTCGGGACCGCACAGAACCGCCCCTCCGCGAAGAAGGCTCCAGCCCTGCACGCCAGAGGTGCCAAGGTGGAGGGGCGCTGGCCCAGGATCCGTGTCACCAGGAGTGTGACAGCTCCTGTGGGGCGCCTGTGTGTGATCTGATTGTAGGTGACAGCGTGACTGTGCGCCTCATTCTTGGCTCACAGCAGCCCCTTTGTATTTCAGAGGCTGTGACAGTGTCACTGTGTCATTGCACAGGCTGTAGCTTCAGGCACGAAATCCCAGAGTTAGAGTGGGGACAAGCCTGGCCCTTGGGCTGGAAGGGTGTGTGCATGTGTGTGTGTGTGTGTGTGTGTGAGTGAGAAGACGGCCCCCTGGGTAGGGCTCCGTGTGCAGAGTCTGCACCTGCTTGTAGGAGGCTGTTGGTGTCCGTGTACAACTGTGTGGTACTGTACATGGTGCGGTGACTCCGTGTGTGACGCTGCTTGGCCTGGGGCTGCCCCTTCTGCCTGACCATGACCACAGCAGTGCTCCTCAGAGAGACTTGTCTTTTCTAAGTGACCTTCTGCTGGGCTGTGATGTCACCCTGAGTGTGTGTGGGCCTGTCCCTGTGAGCAGGGCCCATTGCCACACGTGTGGCTGAATGTGGGGCTGTTTCCTCCCCCGGCGCTGGGTCTGTGTGTCCTCTCCGTGCCCTGGTGGCTGTGTGTGTGTGTGTCCATCTCTTGACTGTCCCCTGCTGTTACCATGCCTGTGAATGGCCCTGTCCACTCTGCACAGCTGGGGAGGACCAGCCCCCTCCCTGCATCCAGAAGTGACCGGGTGAGGGGCCGCCCACTGCACTGGCTCTGCCCCAGGCCGGTCCTGAGGGGCTGCTGATGGAGAGGGCCCTCGGGAGTCATTGGGGCAGCATGGGCAATTAATTCATCAGATTAATTAGCTCCTCAACCAGGGCAGGGCAGGGCCCTCCCTCCCTCGGCGTCCAAGGTCATTCGGCCTCCTCCTCTCCTCAGCCCGGTGCCTCTCCATCCGGCCGCTTCGACTTGCTCAGCCCCCACTCCCTGGCTCCGGTCCAGCCTGCTGGCCACAGTCCACGGAGAGATGAATGGGTGGGGGTGGGGGCCCTGCTGGGCAGTGGGGCCTTGAAGCTGCGCTGGAGTGTGTGGGCAGGCGTGGGCCTGTGCCTGCAAGAGCGTGGCCGGGTGAGCATGGGCCCACGGGTGCGTCTGTGTGGACACGTATGTCTGCCAAGGTCTGTCTGTGTGTGGCTGTGCACTGTACCTGAGAGTGTGTTTGTGGTAGGCGTGTGTCTGGCGGTGCACATGCCTGGGTATTGAGTGCATGCAGCCGGCTCCGTGTGTGTGCATCTTTCCATGTATTCCTGACTTAGTGTGTGCATGTGTGTGCCTGCATGTGTTGGCGGCATATGTACATGTTTCCGTGTATCTGTGTACACACATATCTTAACTTGTGGGCCCACGGCCATCTGTGTGCACCACACATGTCAGCTGCGTGTGTCTATGTATATGTATCTGCACTCAAATTTGTGCATACCTTCACTGTGTACATACATGCACATGTGTCTCTATACATACATGTATCTGTGTATGGTACCTGTGGGTATGCATGAGCATGTGTTTGTATGCACACATCTTTCATACATGTGTGTCTGTGTGCTGTAGTTGGGGTGTGGGCTCAGTGTCTCTGGAGGTGTGTAGGTGTGTGTGTCCCAGTCTGAGTGAGTGTGGGCTTGTGAGAAGACATGTCTGTGTTGTGTGTGTCTGCTGCCATGTGTTTCTGGAAACATGCATGAACATACATGTGGGTGGATGTGGAGACCGTCTGCCTGTGATGGCATGTGCGCCGTGCTGAGCCAGCTCCCCCATCTGCAGGGCTGCTGTCCCAGAGCCTGGAGTTCAGCTCCCCCGCCGACAACTACACGGTGTGCGAAGGCGACAATGCCACCCTCAGGTAGGGGGACTCGGAGGATCTCCCTGGGACTGCAGTCCTGCCCCCTCGCTGTCCCTAGGGAAAACAACCCTGGCCTGGGGCACAGCACCTCTCTGTCAGGAGAGGCCACTAGGGGCACAGCCTCTGGGCCTCAGAGTCCCTGTTTGTCAAATGGGCAAAGGATCTGTAACCACTGAGTTGGTTGTTGTGGGGATTCAAGGGTCTGTGCACCCACCCTGAGCTGAGAGAGCACAGCACACCGTGGCTGCTTGTGAATGGGAGTCAGGGTTATCATTTCCCCAGACCTCTGCCTCTGCCCTCTCTGGGTCCCTGTCCCCTCTCTCTGGGTGCCTGTCCCCATCTCTCTTGGTCCCCGTTTCCCTCTCTCTGGGTCTCTGTACCCATCAGAGTCCCCTGTCCCCCACTCTCTGGGTCTGTGTCCCTCATCTTCATACATTTCTGTCCCTCTCTCCCAGACTGCTAGTCTTCCTCTTTTCAGATCCCTGGCACATAACAGTCACTCCATCAGCTACCATTGCATGTGCATTTGAGTTCACAACTTTCCCTCTCTGGGGCTCAGTTTACCCACCTGTAAAGTGGGCACAGTCACCCCTCAGGGCTGCAGTGGGACCTAGAGGTGTAGTGGCACATCCCCCACCCCTTCCCTAAGCCCTTGCAATGGGAGAACCTGGAGGGCCAAGCCTGGGGTAAAGGAGAGAAGGCAGAGCCTCCCTCCCTTCGTCCTTCCTGCAGCTGCTTCATCGACGAGCACGTGACTCGAGTGGCCTGGCTGAATCGCTCCAACATCTTGTACGCGGGCAATGACCGCTGGACCAGTGACCCGCGGGTGCGGCTGCTCATCAACACACCCGAGGAGTTCTCCATCCTCATCACCCAGGTGGGGCTGGGCGATGAGGGCCTCTACACCTGCTCCTTCCAGACCCCCCACCAGCCGTACACCACTCAGGTCTACCTCATCGTGCATGGTGAGCCTGGGGGCAGAGGTGGCGAGCAAGGGCATAGGGGGGAGGGGCACGGTCCCCGCATACACCTGCGTGGAAGGCAGACACTGCCCTGTCCTTGCTGATTTCAGCCAAGAAAGGGAAGGGACAGTCACACAGGCAGTGACTCTTCAGCCTCACAGCCTCAAAGACAGGAGAGCTACAGGGAGAGGAAGGGAAAGGTGTGCTCACAGGAAGACCGCATTCATTGGCTCGGCTCCATTTATTGAGCACCTACTATGTGCTGGCATTGCTCCAGGCACTGGGAATAGAGAAGAAGATGACCGAGCGGTCCTACCCCTTTGGAGGTGACTTTCCAAGGAGAGGCGGCCTCCCAGACACAATGTCTGAGCTGACCTTCAGCCGGGTACAGAGCTGATACCAGAGAAGGAACAGCACATGCAGGGGCCCAGGGAGAAAATGAGTCAGGTGTGCAGAGGCGAGTCCTGCAGGGCAGGATGCATCGGAATTCGTGTGGGAGAGCGGGGACTGGAGAGATCCACAGAGGGGGCAGGAGGGAGAGAGAGGGATGAGGCTGCCTCAGAAATGAACTGGAGGGAGGGAGGGAACCCACACACAGGGACAGCCCAGCGGGGCCAGGACAAGCCTGACTCAGGAGCCTGGGAGGCTGCCTGGGATCCAGCCTCAGCACTGACACCTGCTGAGGAGCCCTGAGCAGGGGAGGTGGGCTCAGACTCCTCACAGGCCTCAGATCTAAGACATCCTCCACTGGGAGGGACCCCTTTATTGTAATACTCTGCTGGAAAAGAAAAAGAATCTGCCAATCAGACTCTGGCAGCCGGATTAGAGACACGGTCACGTGGAGTAAAAACAGCACCCATGTGTTGGAACAGGTGAACATAGCCACACCTACCCCAGGGGGGTGGCAGTTAGGGTTGTAGTTAATTTTTGTACAACACTGAGAACAGGGATTACCACACAGCAAGCGCCATGTGCATACTTGTTAAATAAGTTAATCTTGAAATAACAATGACAAATAAATAAAAATAGAGATGGGGAGAGAGAAATTCAGAACAAAAAAACAGAAAAAACAAGTTAGGATGAAGGCAGAGAGAGAGAGATTGAGAAAGAGTAAGGAAGACCGAAGTTAGACAGGAAGCCAGACCTAGAGGCAAGGGAGAAACACAGAGAAAACTTACAGAAAGACAGTGAATGTCCGCTGGACACCCAGGTCCGAGGGAGGAAGGGCCACAGGAGCTGGACATCTGAGTCTGAGAGAGGAAGGTCTGGGGGCCTGGACCCCTGGGTCCTGGGAGCCCATATCCAGCCTCTGTCTGACCTCTCTCCCCTCCCCTGCAGTCCCCGCCCGCATTGTGAACATCTCCTCGCCTGTGACAGTGAATGAGGGGGGCAACGTGAACCTGCTTTGCCTGGCTGTGGGGCGGCCGGAGCCCACGGTCACCTGGAGGCAGCTCCGAGGTGAGAACCTCACCCCTGGCCCAAGCCCCTTCTTCTCCACAGTATGGGCCCCTCATTCCCCATATTCCTAGCTAGATTCCCAGAGCTCCCCTTTCCCCTGTTCCTGGTCCCCCTACTGCAGTAATAGTTCCGTTTCCCCCTCCCACCCCAATCCTATTATTTCCCTGGCTGACCTCAGATCCTTACAGCCTTCACCGCTTGGCATCCCAGGCCTGGACCACTTCCTCCAGATCACCCATTAGACCCCAGCTGTGGCCCCCGCCCCCTGTCCCTACCCCCAGTATCCGGTGTCTTCCCCACCAGCCACAGGATTCTCCAGGACTCAGATCCCTGGCCTGAGCCGGGTTAGAGCCAGTGGCCCTGCCCACATCCCCACATCCCCCCCACCCTCCACCCCTGCTTCCTGGTCACATCACTCACATCTCTGCTGGAGGCTCCAGCCCAGCAGTTCTCAAAAGTGCAGTTTCCAAAATAGCAGCATGAGCATCCCCTGGGAACTTGCCAGACATCACATTTCTGGGGCCGCCCCAGACCAGATGACTAGAAATAACCCTCCCCCCACACCACCTCCATCGCCGCCTTTGAACAAACCCTTAGGTGATTCAGATGGTCCCGCTGAGAACCACTGCTCTGGGCTACCCCCAAATGTAGTGGGAAAGGGCCCAAACGTGACTTCCTAGATCTTGACACCTCCCACTGTCCCTTTATCTGGATCTTTGCCACCACTTCCCAGATCCCTAGATCCTCATTCACTGCATCTTTGGAGGCCAGCGATGCCAATCGCTGAACTCTCAAGACTCCAGGGCCCAATCAGGAGGTCTCAGATCCCTGATCCTCCCCCCAGTGGGTCATTGAACCCCACAACCCTGGTCTGAGACCCTGGCTTTCCCAGATGCCCTAAGTCCCAAAGGGTCTTCTGAGCCCATATCTGTCATAGACCTTACCTATCCAGATTATTGATCCCAATCACCAGATCCAGATTCTCTGAACCCCAAGAGCTAGATCCCAGAACTCAGAGCCTTTTCTTATTGGGTTTGCATTTCCTGGATCTTTCTGACCCTCAGGATCCAGGGGTCCACTCCATGGGGTCCTCTGAGCCCCATGATCTGAGTCATGGACTCCCAGGTCCCTTGATCCCATGTACCCCCAAATTCCAGGACCCTCCCCCCTGGGTTCTAGTTACTAAACCTAGATCCTCACTCCCTGCCCCACCCCTAGCAGGAGATTCCAGCCCCCCTCCCCCAAAGCCCCTCCTATCTCCCCCCAGCCCTGGGCACTCCAGGCCCTGCGGTGCCCGCCCCGCTGATGTGTGTCCGTGTTGTGCCCGTGTTGTCCCGTGTTAAGTGTTTGTGTCCGGCCCCGCCCCCTCCCCTTCCCAACCTCCACAGACGGCTTCACCTCTGAGGGCGAGATCCTGGAGATTTCCGACATCCAGCGGGGCCAGGCTGGAGAATATGAATGCGTGACTCACAACGGGGTCAACTCAGCACCGGACAGCCGCCGCGTGCTGGTCACAGTCAACTGTGAGGCCCCTGGCAGTGGGCACGAAAGGGGGGCGGGCCCTGAGTCCCTGGGCAAAAAGGGTGTGCAGGGAGAGACGGCAGGGGGTCTGGACTCCTGGGAAGGAGGGAGGAAGGGGGCTGGGGTAGGACCCCTTAGGCCTACCTGGCTGGGAGAATTCGCTGACTCTCGCTGTCACCAGATCCGCCGACCATCACGGACGTGACCAGCGCCCGCACGGCCCTGGGCCGGGCCGCCCTCCTGCGCTGTGAAGCCATGGCGGTGCCCCCAGCGGACTTCCAGTGGTACAAGGATGACAGACTGTGAGGACAGCACCTGCGGGCTGTGCGGCTGGGGGAGGGTGGGGGGAGGGGAGAGGTGTGTGTGCACCGGAAGGTGGCACAGTCCTAGGTCCGGAGAATGAGGTGGGGTGTGGGGGTGAGGGGGTCCAGCTTTTAGGTGATGGGGTCCACGGGGGGCCCAGAGGGAAATTAGTGAAGGTCAGTTGTATTTGACCTTCCCCAAATACTGGAAGCTTGGGCCCCACCATGATGAGTGTGGTGCTTGATCTCCTGGGGCTATTCGGGGAGGTCAGGGGTGGATGCTGAGCATCTGCTGAGCTTTAGGAGACCATTGGGGCCGGAGTCCAGCAGGGCCTGGGAGCCCCTAGAGACTGGGGGCACACCCTGGAGAGTCCAGTGTCCCTGAGAGGCAGGGGTGCCTAGGGAGGAGTGTCAGCGAGGGTAGCCCGGGATCCGTGGGGAGCTAGACCCCGAGGCTGGGCGGGGGTTGTATTGGGAGGGGAGTCTCTGAGGAGTCAGGGAGCCTGCGAAGTCGACGGCCTGGGCTTGGCGTCTGGAGGGGTCACGACCCGGTCCCTGACCCGGATCCCCGGCAGGCTGAGCAGCGGCACGGCCGAGGGCCTGAAGGTGCAGACGGAGCGCACCCGCTCGATGCTACTCTTCGCCAACGTGAGCGCCCGGCATTACGGCAACTACACGTGTCGCGCTGCCAACCGGCTCGGAGCGTCCAGCGCCTCCATGCGGCTCCTGCGTGCGTCCGAGCGCCGGTCGGCGGGAGGGGCGGGAGGGCGGGGCCTGGGCGGCGTGGGCGGGGCTAAGAGAGTGGGCGGGGCCTGGTGGGTGGAGAGGGCGGGACCGCCCCCAGACTCACCCAGAACTTAGGAGAGGACGCCGCGACTCAAACAAGACTAAAGAAAAAAACCGGTCCCTTCAATGGGTGTCGATTCACTGAGTGCCCACTAAGGGCTGGGCGTTGGACGCTGGGGACGCAGCAGTGCACGAGAGACAGGTCTAGGGGCTCGCAGAACTTACGGTCTAGTATTAGCAGAAAAGCAATAAAGAAGTAGACATAGAAATAAAATGAAAAGCAAAGACGTATCTACATAGGCAAAAAATAATAGGATTGGAGATAGATAAGCTCATTGGAGAAAACAGGTCTGGGGCGGGGACGGTACCCTTTGAACTGAGACCTGAGTGGCAAGAAGCAGCCAGCCCTGCCCAGGTTTGCGGGAAGAGCTCCGCAGACAGAGAGAACAGGGAATGCAAAGGTTCGCCCAGAGGACCGTATGACCTGAGCAGAATGGCCACGGGACCTGAGATTGTAGAGGAAGGGAGAATCAGAGTCTCCTGGGCCATGATAAAAATTTGGGGTGTTGTTCTGCTGCAGGGCAAAGCCACTGGTGGCTATTAAGTGGGGGAGTGACATGTGGCTGATGCTTCTTAGAAGAATCTCTCTGACTGCTATTTGAGGGATGAGCTGGGGTGGGGGTGTTGCAAAATGGAGGCAAGAAGACCAGAGAGGAGGCTGGGAGCGGCACAAAGTGTCTACCAGGGCGACGTTTTGGAGGTAGAGGGAAGAGGGACGTGGAGACCAGCTGATTCCAAAGTTGGCTGGAACAGCTGGGTGGATGAGGGTGTGGCACTGAAGTACTGAAATGGAGAAATAGTGGGGGTGGGGCAGGGCAGTAGCCAGTCTGGGAGTCAAAAGTGGAGAAGGCAGTTTTGGACGTGCTGACTGGAAGAAGCTTGGTGGCCGTGCTGGGTGGAAGAAAACGGTAAGACAGAAGGACAATGAGAGCCCCAGGCTGATGAAAAAGCGGCAGAGATCTGAGAAAAAAACAGGGAAGGAAGAGAGAGAGCCAAGTGCCTCACAAAATGCTGAGACTCAAAAACCAGAAGAGCAAACAGAGGGAAAGGCTCAGAACAGCCCTTGAGACAGTCGCCCCATGTGAGACCCTCAGGGACCAGTGCAGACAGAGACAGGCACCGGGGAGGGACACACACAGGTCTCCTCCTCCCAGGCCTTGTCCTGACCTTCTCTCTTTCTCCAGGCCCAGGGTCCCTGGAGAACTCGGCCCCGAGGCCCCCGGGGCCCTTGACCCTCCTCTCTGCCCTGGGCTGGCTGTGGTGGAGGATGTAGAAAGAACCCAGTGCAGCTCGCCTCCCCCTGCGGGGGGAGGGGCCTGAGTCCGAGAGCAAGAGAAAAGGGGGGAGCAATCAGCATGGGTCTCCAAGGGGCGGAAGAGCTCTCGGCCACCGAGGAAGAAGAGAGGAGGAAGAGGAAGAGAAGGAAGAAAGATCTTTAGAGAACCCATCACTGTGAGGGATAACGCAAAATTATGCATCTTTCTACAGCCATTCTCGCCACTGTTCACGTTTCCGATTGTGACCCACCCCCGCCACCCCCACCCCTCTCTTAGCTCAGGCTGTCAACTGGATCGCATGTGTGTAGTGGGTGTATGTGCGTGTGAGCCTGCATGTGTGTGTATGTGTGTCAGGGGGGTGGGCAGGGAAGAGGGCTCGAGATCTTCCCTCCCCGACACCCCCACATCCACTGCCCCAACTCTGCTGCCTCTCCCCTAGGGCTGGAGGTAGGTATGGGGGCTCCGTGGTAGAAACTATGAGGGGAGGTTTTCCCAGGCCCCTGCTTTCCCAGTATATGCACCCAGCACACTGCCCCCTGCCCTCCCTGCTGAAAAGGTGTCTCCTGGGCAGGTTGGGAGTGGGGAGGGGTATTGCACTTACCTGTCAAGCTGTCATTCAGCCTTTGTGAGTCGATGCGGAGAATCGCCACCTGGGCTCTGGGTCTCCCTGCTGTCAACTACCAACTGCCTGTCTGCAGCCAGAGGCCCCATCACTGGCTCAGCGGCCTGAGACCTTCCCACTTTTCCTGTCTCCTCCTCTCCCCTCCCCTCCCCTGGACTTTCTGGCCCTGTCCTGGGGCCAATCGGTGCTTCCATCCAACTGCCAGGCTGGTGTCTGTGGTCACCTGTCTGTCTCAGTGCTTTGCCCTCCCCAAGCCCCACTCCCTTTGGCCACCTGCAGCGCCAACCAGCTGCCCTCAGCGTCCCTGCAGCCGGCCCATGCCTGTGGGTTTTCTGGTCTACTACTCCCCAGCCTCTCCACCAACTGTACCTCCCGAAGGCTGACCTGACCGCCCACCCCCACACACACACACCAGCGACTGACCAGCAATAGCCCCCTGGCTGCAGCTGACCAGCTGTCATTCCCCCCGAAAGGGTGGGCAACTGTTGTCAGGACAGACCGCTGAGAGGTTGTAGCCTCTCTGATTGTAGGAATACCCCACCCCGGCACACCACATCACACAAAGTTGGGGGGGAGAGGCCTCACACAAACATCCTGAGCCCAGACCAAGATGCCAAGTTACCAGCTCCGACTCCCGGGAGACCCTCTAAAAACACCCCAAACCATACCACCCAGTGCTTGTAGGGGGAAGAGGGCAGAGCAAGGGCAAGGGGCAGTGACTGTACCTCAGACAGGGGCGTGGGCCCCATCCCACATTGTCTTCCATTCCCAGGGTCCTGGGGGATGGGGAGGGGAGGGAGACAAGGGAGGGGGTTGGGAGACCCTGGGGGCCGTGTGTTCCAATTCATGGGGAGTGTTGAGACCACCACACCAATAAACGCCTTTTTCCAAAGTCTCTGCCTGCAGATGCCACTGTCATTAAGGACTTGGGGTGCAGAGAGCAAGGGTTATGGTTATGCGTGGAGTCTCCCCGAGATCATTCCCACTGCCTCCTTTCTCTTTGGTAGATCTGGAATTCATCAGGCGGCCCCTAATTGGCTCAAGCCACTGGACGTACACCATTTCCCACTGACTGGTCCAGAACTAATGAGAGAGTGAATACCATGGATTCACAAGAAGAAATGGCCTTCCACTGAATAATGTGACTCAGTGAAGTGAGGTCTAGACCTGTGCGGTTGCTTTTCCCCATCACATGGAGACCTCTTTAGTCTGTGGGGACAGCAATGGTGGGGAAGACAGAATGTGGAGACTGGGCATGATGGAAAGAAACATTGGAAGGCAGAGTGGAAGGTATAGAGAAACAGCCCATAGTGACGTCATTTGAGCTACTGGATCAAAACTTACCTGGTGCCTGCCTCCACCTACACAAGCTAAGTCCCCTGATATTTAAGCCAATTTGTGTTGGGTTTTATGTCTCTAGTGATCAAAAAGGAAATGAAAACTCTGATAGAAAAGAGATATAGAGGGCTCTGGTAACCAGGACCCCCACCCCTCAACTCTTCAAAATGATCCAAGAGCTCCGTGTCCCAAAGGCCTTTTGCATCCCAATCTTTAAGCAGACGACCTCACATAACTTTCCTTCCCTGAGACAGATGCTGGTTGCCTTTGCTTTAGTTATTTGTTTCCTCTTTCTTTGCTGTCCGGCCCACCTCTCATGATATAGCCTGAGATGTTTGGTTTCCCAGGGTCCCTTGCAGTAAGTGATATAGCCAGTTTGGGGTCAATGAGACAAGGGAAACTTTCTGGTAGGCTTCCAGGAAGTTTTTTCTCCACTCATGAGGTTGCTCAAGGCAAGGTGTGTGAGAAGAGAACCATGTTCTCGTTGTCTTCAGATACAGTTGTGTGAAGATATGATGTCTGGAGCTGCAGCAGCCATCTTGCTACATGAGACAACATGCCGACCAATTGAGGATGGCAAAGCGGAAGGATGTAATAAGTCCACTTCCTTGAGGGGGGTCACTAAGTTGCTGCACCAGCCTGAAACCACCCACTTCCATGTTTCTTTCCACCATTTATTTTCTTAATTTGCAGCCAATTAACAAATCTTCATGGTGCACCCCCTAAATTTCTCATGAGAATCCCTGTTGTTGTTGTTTTTTTTTAAAGAACATCATTCTGCAGAAAGCAGGGGCAAAACCAGCCCTTCGTTGGCACCAAAACATTAGATCAGTTAACCTATATTAATTTCCCACTGTGTGCTAGGTAGGCTCTGTGTTAATTTCTGGGAATAATGACATGGCCTCTGTCTTCAGGAAGCTCTCAGTTTAGAGAGGGAGTCTGCAGCCAAACAAGCAATTATTTACTTACAGATGAGAAGCAGGGGGCTCAGGGTCTCTAGGATCTAACCCACAACTAACGCTGGGGTTAAAGAAGCATCTTCTTTTTATTTATTTATTTATTTTTAGAGAGAGGAGAAGGGAGAGAAACAGGTGAGAGAAACATTATTGATCAGCTGCCTCTTGCGTGCCCACACCTCCAACTGGGGACCTGGCCTACAACCCAGGCATGTGCCCTGATGGGGAACTGAACTAGTGACCTTCCTGTTTGCAGGCCAGTGCTCAATCCACTGAGCTACACCAGCCAGGGCTAAAGAAGCATCTAAGATGGTAATGGTCACCTTTCCCCTTGAGAAATAAACAACACAAGGAGACTGCTGTGCTCCAGATAGGGCAAACTCTAGGGCCAAAGACCCAAAGGCAAAATAAAGGGCAGTGGGAAAGCCTGTGCTCCTGAGGTGGTGGGGACACGTGTTGGAAGGGGAGGTCAGAGAGGCCAATGGAGGCCGACCCACAAGGCTTTGAAGGTCATGATGAAGAGTTTGGACATCTGGAGGGTGATGGGCAGCCATAGAAGGGTTTCAGAGAAGAGGGGCATGTGCTTGGATCTGTTTTAAGACGAAGACTCTGGGAGCTGGGTGGGTATGGCCTGGGGGAGGCAAAATGGACATAGGAAGACTTTTCCAGAAACGAAGCAGGTCCTAGGTCCGACATGGAGCAGCCCCACAAGCCTGCCTGTCTGCTGCACAGTCTACACATCTTGCCTGCTTGGTGGTTTGCAAACCACACTGGTGGTTGTTTGTTTATTTATATTTTTAGACAGAGGGGAATGGAGGGAGAAAGAGAGGCAGAGAGACAGTGTGTGGTTGCTTCCACACAGGTCTCCACTACTGGGGGCCTGGCCTGCAACCCAGGCATGTGCCCCGACTGGGAATCCAACCAGTGACTCTTTGGTTCACAAGCCAGTGCTCAATCCGCTGAGCCACAGCAGGGCTACAAACTACACTGTCAGATCAACAGGAGTCTCCTCCAGCCCAGGAGTCTCACCTCCTTAGTTACACAAATACAAGTAGAGTCTTCGAAGGTGAGAGTCTGACCTTCAGTCTCAGTAGGACAGGAAGGCCCTGCCTGCTGCTGAGTAAGAACATGAAGTCCTGTGCAAAAAGTCCTTTGTGGAACAGGCCATTAGCCCTTGTCACACCTGTGTGGCTGCCCGGACAGTCTTCGGGCCCCCAACTGGAGAGATGACTGGATTGGGGCCAGTGACCTGGAAGAGAGAGGAGGGGTGAGGGACAACCTCAGGGGTTGCACTGGATTGGACCTGACTCACCCATTTCTACAGCACTAGGTCTCCTTATGCAGAAATTAGCTGGGTCTCCTCTGTGTGCAAGGAATAAAAAAAATGTCTACCCACCCTTGGTGACAGATAAGACAAGCAACGACCCACCTTTACCAGAAAAAAGAAATCCCATCCCTCTTTGGAGAGAAAATGGAAGGGGTTTTTTTCCCCCATTTTTATGGAAAAGACAAATAAAGGAGGTTCCATCTTACTTCTTTTGGGGGCAAAAACTAGAATGTCATTCTTCTTTTAAAATACTTAAATGTTGGATGGGAAGCCCTGCCCAACTTTTATATATATTTTTTAAAGGATAAAAGTTTACCAGGCTTGTAAACCAACAAGTAAAGCTGGAGGAAGAGAACACAGACTATCTCATCTCCCTGACTAAATAACATAAAAAGTCCACACTCTCTAGGCAGGTCCCCGGGCCACTCACACTCACTCGATGGACCCCCGTTGGGCTGGGATTCTCCAGTGGGACTTTGAGGGGCAGAGGCTGTGGAGTCTTCACTGGAGCCACACTCTGCATCTTCTTCCCTGGTGGGGGGACCGCAGGGATAAAGGTGGGTGGAGACTTCTTTTTCATGGGACTTTCTCCTGGGAGAGAGGAAGAAAAGAAACAGAAACGTGATTGGCTGCTCCAACATGCCTACCCAGCCAATGGCCAGGGAAGCTGTGCTGAGAGGTGGAGCCTTCCAGCTGATTAGCTGGTATGGAGGGAGCTAGGCCGGAACATGTGACCTGTAACCACGTTGATTGGTTCAGCCAGGCTTCCAATGAGGTTTTTATCTAGAGACCCTTCTAGTAGGCCCCTTGCTTACCCCGAAAACGACGCAGGCAGCAGACGCACAAGACTATCAGTGCTGCCAGGAGTGCCAAGCCCAGTAGGGAGCCCAAGACAATGCCAGCGATGGCCCCAGGGCCCAGGGTGCTGCCTGGAAGAGATAAAGAGGAGGGTAAAGGTGAGTAAGAGCCAGAATTGGACCAGTTTTGATGAGGATCCATTCATTGGTGAGCGAACCAAGATACCTACTCTCATGGGGATTCATTTTAGGTGGAAAATGAGAAAGGAATGTGCAAACAAATAACATAATTATAGATTGCATTAAAAAGAAAAATAAGTGTGCTACAATAGAAATAATGGGAGAGGGAATGCTATTTAGAAAGGATCATGAGGGGGTGGTTCCTGAGGAAGTAACATTTGAATAGAGACCTGGAGAATATGGAGCCAGGTGAGCTAAATGGGGGAAGGGTGTTCCAAGAAGAGGGAACAGAAAATGCAAAGGCTCAGAGGTACAATACAGGGTTTTTTGTGTGTGTTCAGTGAAGGCCAGTATGGGTGGGGTAAAGAGGTAGATAATGATATCAGAGGAGTTAGCAGGTGTGAGAGCCTCGAAATATTGAAGGACTTTATGGAAGGCTTTTGAGGAGGTCACAGCAGCAACATGATGCGATTTCTATGACTCTGGCTTCTGTGTGGTGAAGAATGAGTTGTAGGAGGGCAAGAGCGTACATAAGGATAGCAGATAGCTACATTTGCAATCCAGGCAAAAGAGGATGTTGGCATCTGAGCAGGAGGTTGGAATGGAGACGGAAATAAATGGATAGATTCCAAAATCATTTTGGAAGGAAAGTTGATGTGACCTGCTAGTATTTGGGGGTGTTGGAGGTGACTTGAGCATGTGGGTGGTGTCACTGAAAGCTGGGGAAGGAGAAGACAGGTGAGATGCAGTTTGGGGGAAAATACACGACGAAGTCTATTTTGAACATGCGGAGTCTGAGATGCCAGTTGGGCATCCAAAGTAAAGGTGTCAGGTAGGGAGGTGGCTTCTCAAATGTGAAGTTCAGAAGAAAGGCCTGGGCTCAGGATCAGACAGCTGAGAGCCCTCTGAGTAATAATGACATTCAAGTCAGTGAGCGTGTACAGGGTCCCACTGGGGAGAAGTACAGGTTGAAAAGTGGTCTCACCACTGAGCTCTGAGACACCCAATACTTAGAAGTTGGGAAATGTTCTCAGTTGAATTGTGTCTGTACCAAGAAAGATATATTGGCCCTGGCTGGTGTGGCTCAGTGGTCTGAGTGCTGGTCTGTGAACCACAGGGTCGCCAGTTTGATTCCCAGTCGGGGCACATGCCTGGGTTGCAGGCCAGGTCCCCACTGGTGGGTGTTTGAGAGGCGACCATGCACTGATGTTTCTCTCCTTTCCCCTCTCTAAAAATAAATAAATAAAATATTTTATAAATTATTTAGTAAAAAAGAAAAAAGGGAAGATATATTGACATCCCAACCATCAGTACCTGTGAATGAGATTTTATTTGGAAATAAAGTCTTTGCATATCATTTTGACTGACCACACCTGCTCTATTTCCAGATAAGACCACACTCACAAGTACTGGGGGTTAGGAGGTCAGTATATCTTTTTTGGGGGGAGATGCAATTCAACCAGTCAAGACGAGAACTTGAGGGCACATCCTATTCCAGTATGACTAGTGTCCTTACAAAAAGAAGCCAGAGACACACACAAGGAGGAGGCGGCTTTGGGAAGCTGGAGGCAGAGATTGGGCTGATGTGGCCGCAAGCCAAGGAACACCAAGGATGGACAGGCACCTCCAGAAGCTGGAGGAGGCAAGCCAGCTTCTTCCCAGAGACTCAGGGGGAACATGACCCCACTGACATCTTTATTTTGGACTTCTGGCCTCCAGAGCTGTGTGAGGATACATTTCTGTGGTGTCAGGCCATCCTCGGTCCTTTGTTACAGCAGCCCCAAGAAACTAATCCAGGGAGAAGGGGGGTCCAGTAAAAGACTGATGGAGGCAGCCCAGGAGAAGGGTCCAACAGCCCCAACTCACCAACACTGTAGATCCGGCTTTGTGATGGGATTCCGGGCTGGCCTCCCAGAATGGGCATGATACGCAAGGCCCAGCTCCCAGGGTTCTCAGGAGGGAGGGGCACCACAGCTGACCGTTCCTGAGGCCCCAGGATGAGCAAGGAGACCCAACCCTGGTAGAGGATGGCTCTGCTCAGGTTGGGCCCCTCCGGCCGTGCCTGGATCTCAAAACCGCTGACCACAGCCCCACGCTCCACATCCCAAGTCAGCACCGCTGCGTCCTGGACTCTCTGCAGCCTCCATGAGGAGATGGTGGGTCCTGAAAGGATCAAGATGGGGGGATGAGATTTGCAAGTCCTTAGGGGAAAGGGAAGGAGGCTGTGGGCTTGGACTCGTGGATCCCAGGGGGAAAGGATCTAAAGACTCAGATTCTGAGCCTATGAGGAAGAGGGGCTGGGGTCCTGGCATCTTGGGTCTGAGGGAGTAGGGGCTGGAGTCTGGATTCCTGGGTCTGAGGGAGGAGGGGCTGGGGGACCTAGACTTCTGAGTCCTGGGAAAGGACAGAACTCACCGATGAGGGTGATCCGGTCGACCGCAGTACCCAGCACCCCACTGCACAACACAGAGTAATTTCCTAGGTCCCGATCCAGGCTGAAATTGCCAATGAGGAGCCTCCGTCCATCTTGGCTGAGTCTCAGGCGTCCCCCACTTCCAGAGACCAGGGGTCGCCCTTCCCTGGCCCAGGATGCTTTTGAGGGTGGCAGACAGCCAGAGGCCTCCAGCACCACCTCTGCCTCCCCTGACCGTGTCTTCTCCACCATCGGATGCAGCAGCACCTCTCGAGGGGCCTCTGCAGGTGCAAGAAACCCAGTCAAGTCCTCGCCCTGAAGTCAAAGAACAAGTCCTGTGCCCTTTGGTGAATTAGACAGCAATGAAACCTCAGTGCCTTAGTTGAGCGAGGAAGCAGCGTCCATTCCCTCTCTCCCTCATTCATTCAACAACTCAGTTCCTTAACCAGGACTTATTAAGTACATATTATAGACCAGGTATTAGGCTGGGAAACCCCTGTGGTTCTCAACCCTTATTGCTCTGAACCCGTAGGAAGGTGGCAGCCCTCCTCCTGGGTCCAGGAAAGAAATTTTTGTCCCTGTTCCTGCTTGAAGGTATAGAAAAAACCTGGGTCCTTTTGTAGAGTTACAGACAAAGGAAATCCTTTTCTCTGGAGTTAAGAAACTCCATTTCTCTCATGTAGTCCCTAAAGGAGCTAAGAAATACACTCTTTACTTCATGAAATGGGATAGAAGTCCCACCAGCTCTCACCCGGGGTGACAGTGCAGGTGCGCGTGGCCACCAAGTGGCGAGCAAGGCAGGTGACAGGGACGCCGCTAAGCCGAGGGTGGGCGGGGACAACTGCCAGGAGTGCAGAGGACATCGGCCCCGCGCGGACGCCTTCGGGGAGGCCCTGGAACTGTAGGGAGGCGGCGGGGACCCCACCAGGCCACCAGCAACGGAAGCGAAGGCTGCGGTCCTCGGGACCCCCTTCGACCGAGCACTGTGGGGACCCAGGGGGCAGATCTGTGGGGTGCAAGCAGAGATCAGGGAGGCAGCCTCTCTCCCTTCTCCCCTTTAATCCCCAACTCCCTGGGCGTTCACTCGCAAGTCTTCCCTGAGTCCCGCTCCGTAGGTGACCGCGCCCCTCCAGGCTGGCCCCACCCCTTCTCCCAGTATCCCCGCCTCTTCCACAGGGAGTCCCCGCCCTTCCTCGCGAGCCCCGCCCCCTCCCATGGCTCCCAGCCTCAAGCTGTTTTCTCCCCTTCTCCTGAGCATTCCCACCCCTTTTACCCGGAATCTCGGAGCTTTCGCGATGGTCCCACCCCTCCGCAGTCGCCTCACCCCTCCCCAGTGGCCCCGCCCCCTTTCCCCGTACCAGCCCCTCGCTGGTCCCGCCCCTTCGCCTGGGAAACCCCGCCCCCCGCGTTGGCCCCGCCTCCTACTGGCCCGGCCCCGCCCCGTCTACGCTCACCGGCCACCGTGAGGTGGAGCAGAGAGCGGCGGCGGCGGCCGGTGCGCGGGTTCGAGGCAAGGCAGGCGTAGGCGCCGGCGTGGCCTGGCGCGACCGCGGGCAGCAGGAGGCGCGGGCCGGCGGGCACCGCGGCCTCGGCGGGGTCGGCCAAGCTCCACGCGAAGTCGGCGGGCGGCCGCGAGGCGGCGGTGCAGCGCAGGGTCACGTTGCTGCCCGCGGTGACGTAGCGGGCGGGGGCGGCGTCCCGGTCCGAGGAGATCGTGATGACCGGGGGGTCGGGGCCGTCTGGATAGAGGGAGGGGTGGGTACCACGAGTGTCGGGGTCACTCGGGACTCCTCCGGGGTCCCCGGGGACTAGACCGTCAGCCCCGCTTCCCCAGGGAATGCGGAGCCTGGGCTCCCAGGCCCTGCCCCCGACCCCGGGCCGACCCCGCTCACAGGAGACGCTGACGTCGGCCGCGGCTTCCGTGTGGCCGAAAGGGCTGCGAACTTGGCAGGTGTACCGGGCGTGGTCGCCGCGCACGGGGCGCGCGATGAGCAGCTCGTCGCCCTCTGCGCGGATCCGGGGCAGCTCCGCTCCCTCCGGGTCCGCTGCCTCCAGGACGCGTCCGTCCCGGCTCCAGCTTAGCTCCCCGCTACCCGGTCTCCATCCCCGGCAGCGCAGCCGGAGTTCGGTCGCCCCTTCCTCGGTCTCCGGGGCCTGGGGCTGCACGGAGAGGTGGGGTAGAGGCTCTGGGAAAAGAGGAACTTGCTCAGGCCCCGGGCCTCCTTTTGCCCTAGGTCCAGGACAGCAAGCCCCAGGCCCTCCACCTCCTACACCAAGCACTTCCAGGCGCTGGCGGGGCTTCCTCTTAGGTCCAGTCCTCTTCTCACAGACCCGCGAGTGTTAGTGTCTTGAGTCTCTAGAGAACTCAGGAGTCTTGATCCTCTGGTCCAGCTTCCCTAAGGTGCCCTGACCTTGGCCCAGACCCTTTTCTCCTCCCACCCGGAAATCTTCTCTTTTCTGTTTCCTTCTTCTGGGAAGAAAACAACCTCAGAACAGCAGTGACCTGCCAGAAGGTCTGGCAAAGCAGCCCTGGCAGCCTGCTTTCTGGACCTCAGGGCTCACTTACCATATACACCCACCGTGAACTCCCGAATCTGCCGGGAGACCCCAGCACGAATGACCTCAGCCGTGTAGACCCCAGCGTCCTCCTGCTGGGCAGAGGTGAGTTCCAGGCCCCCTCGGGTCTGGTCAAATCGTAGGCGATCTCGGTTAGCAGGGTCCAGGCTGAGCAGAGGGGCCCCTGGCCCCAGGCCCCCCGCTGCCAGCACCTTGGAACCCCGGCGCCAGACAACCAGAGGGGCAGGGGGGCCAGGGCTGGGGACTGGAACCAAGGGGAGTTGGATGGTGGTCCCCACTAACACAGCAAGAGGCCCCCCCACCTGCTGGGGGAAGCTCGGCTCTAGGGGTGCCTCTGCAGGAACTTTGAATTCGGGGCTCTGGGCGGGGAATTTGAAATCCAGATCCTCAGGGGAGAACTTTAAACCTGAGCCCTCCACAGGTACATTAGCTCCAGGGACTTGGACAGAAGTGTTTGAAGTTGGGTTCTTAACAGCAAAGGAAGGCTCTGAGTCTTTGGCAGGAACTTGAGAACCCAAGATGTCAGGAAGTACTCGGGAACCAGAGGTCCCAGAGATGGTGGGCTCCAGGCCTGACTTTTGGTCCTCAGCAGAAACATTTGACCCGAGGGATCCAGTTATGTTGTCCGAGTGCAAGGCCTCGGGAATCCATGGGGAATGGGGGACATCAGCAGTGGCTGTTGAACCTGGAGACCCTTCCAGAAATTCCCATCTTGGGGGGTTGGTGAAAGAAACATTTGAAACCGGGCCCCGGGAAGAGCTTTCTGAGTCAGAGATGAAATTGGTTGGCTGAACTCCAGAAGGGGCTCTGAGAGTGAGGACATCTACTCCGGAGGCTGCAGAGGAGAGGAGGGGTGGGTGTTGAGGGGCTGCCGAGAAGGGGAACCGGTGGGCAAGGGGCTGAGCGGGAGACTTACCCAGGAGCAGGAACAGCGGCAGAGCCTGTGAGGTGTCCATGGTGCTGGCCGCACCCTGGAAGAGGACACTGGAGTGAGACTCGGGGCAAGCCCAACAGGACTGGTAGCTTCCTGGGCGGGGAAGGGAGCCAGACCCAGTGGGAGGCACCAGGATCCCTCACCCCAATCTGGTGGCTGACCCACCCACCCCACCCCACTGGTCCTCATTAGTGACTGTCATCTAAGGGGAGATCCAGCCTGACCCCTGTCCCCAGACCCCCAGGGGAGAGAGAATGAGAGCTAAGTCCCAGCTGAAAGTGTGGGAGCAAAGCCAGGAGGACTTCCTGGGAAAGGGTGAGGTGACCTTTCAGAGAGCCCCACTTTTGATGGCCGTGCCCTCAGCTCAGGCTTTCTCCTCCCCAGGGTCCACTCTGTCCTGCCTGCTGCAGCCTCAATAAACGCACATCTGGCCCTGATCCTTCTCTGCTCCAGGCCCTCCACTGATTTCCTGTTGCCCTCAGGACCCAGTTTTGGGTGGCTATCCCCTACCTAGTCATCTCTTCTGAGACCCAGAACTGCATCGTCAAGTCCCCCAGAGCCTCCATCATGTGCGTGCCACTAAACTTAGCATCTTCCCTCTAATCTGACCCTCCTGGATTCTTCATCTTGACTACAGTTCCTCCATTCGTGCAGGGGCTGCGGAGCCTTCCACCCTCCTCTGTCCTCCTCACTGCTGTGAATCTCTGAATCCCACCCCTCCTGCCTCCTGCATCTCTGTTTCACTTCTTTGAGTCTGTTCCCACTGGCCAGGCCCCAGCATAAGCCTCGTCCTCTGCCCCTGTCCCCTTGTTTAGCTTTCTATCTTCAGCCTCATCTCCTACAGTCTGTGGATCCCCACGTAGCCCTGAGTCTACATCCAGAGCTGCCCCTTCTTGCCATAGCTCCTCAGGAGATATCCAAGGAATTTCCAGAGCTTGTCTAACCTAGATCCATGCACTCCACCCACTTCCTCCTCCCTCCAGCACTTATTCTATGAACACCCTGCTATTCTTAGGCCTGTCTCTCCCCTTCCAGATTTGCAGACAGTTTCCTTTGCCTGGAATGCTCTTCTTTGCTCCCCGCCCTCTTCCAACCTGACTAAACCACAACTTGTCCTTCAGGTCTCTTATTATGAACCAAAATAATAATTGCCACTTGCCACGCACCAGGAACCATGCAAAAAATGTTCCCCAGACACTATGGGCTGAACCCTTCCAAACGCCCCATGAGCTGGGTGTTTACCATCCCAGGGACTATGGCTCAGAGAAGGACCTGCTAGAGGTTGCACAGCCAGAGGGAGACGCTGGGTGGTCCAGCCAAGGATGGTCAGGCTGCTCACTCTTGAAAGTTTTTCCTACCATCCCATGGTGGTCTAAGCAGGTCCCAGGTCTTCGAGCTTACTCAGGTAGTCTTGCTACGCAGGTAATAGTAATGATGATGCTACATAGTGAGCATTTTCTGCATGTGGAGTGGTTCTGAAGGTACCACATTAACCCTTTAAATCCCATGGGGGTAGGTTTGATAGTTTAAAAAAATGGCTGCTATTATGACTTTCTCTCACTAAGGAATATGGTCTCTGTCCCCTCCCCTGGCACCTGTATAGGCTCTGTGACCTCTAGACCAAGAGACTACAGTGGAAGTGACCCCGCGTGTCTACACCTAGGCCTCAAGGGACTGGCATAGTCCATTTCCTGTATCAAGGAACACTCCCGCCATGCTGTGAGGAAGCTCAGGCAGCTCCTTGGAGAGTTGTGGCCCCCTAGTCAACAGCCAGCTCAAGCCCACAGCCCCAGTCAGCTTGCAAGCACACAAGGGGGCCATCTTGGACATCAATCCTCTAGACCTATTTCAGCCATGGAAGTGAGGCATGCTGTTTCGGCCAAGCTCAAATCTCAGATTTATGAGCAAAATAAATGATTATTGGGCCAAGCCACTAAGCAGCAGATGACCAGATCACAGGCAGTTACTAACTGCACCCAGTGGGGGAAGGAAACTCAGGCTTAGAGAGTAGAAAGTTGTCAAAGGTCCTCCTGACGATAGGGATCGGTCAGGATCCAGACCCCAGGCCCATAACCACTACACTGAGCTCCTACTGGTTCCATAAGCCAAGTGAGGAAACTGAAGCTCAGAGATGGGGAGTTATTCACTCAACACCTCGCAGTTGGTAAATTCGAGAGCAAGTCTGAAATCATTAAGTCTGACGCCAGGTCCTGGCTCTTTGTCCTGCACTAGGTTTTGATCGTCTCTTGCCTGTCTCCCCAACCAGAATCAGAGCTTCCAGCCTCCTTCCCTCCTGCACCCCAAGTCTCAGCAGGTGCCTGGCACCCAGGAGTCCCCAGCAGCAAGCATATTGCACGTGAAAGCTCTTCTGTGCCCCCCTCCCATGACCTCACTGATACTTGTCTTTGGAGACTCAACTTAGATGCCACCATACTGGGAAGTGTCTTTGACCCCACAGGCCTGCTCAGGTGTCCCATGTGGGCTCCCAGTACCCAATGCTGCCTCACGCACAGGACACAGCACCCCACCTCACGGCTGCCTTTGCCCAGGTCCATTGGCCCTTCAACGTGGAAGCTTCTCAAGGGCAGGGAATGGATGTGACTCACCTGGATCTCCAGCGTTGCCCAGCACAGGGCCTGGCAGGTGGGAAACTTAAGTAAATGTTTGTTGAATGAATCAAAGATGTGTGTTCTTGGAATGAGGTCACAGAGACAGACGTCGAGAGTCATAGTTTTATTGTCAGGTTTCATGGAAGTGGCTCAAATCCGCCCGATCTCCCTCAGCTTGGCCACCAGGTCTTCCGTGGTCTCCACCTTGACACCAGCCGTGCGCTGGGGTGGGTCTTCCACACTAACCACAGAGATCTTAGAGGTCAGGTCCACGCCCAGGTCCCCGGGCTTGAGCACCTCGATCTTCTTCTTCTTGGCTTTCTGCATACAGGAAGCCACACTTCACAAAGTCTCCAAATCCCCTGCTCACACTCCTGCAGCCCCCATGGGTGCCGCATCTGCCGGATGATTGCCATTGGCTAAACCCTTCTAGATTTCCCCATTGGCCGGGACACACATGACCTCTTACAGGGCCACACCTGGTGTGGACAATTCCTGTTGGCTGGGAGGTCCTCCTGTGGCAGGAGTCCTCCTTTATAGTACACGGCCTTGAGAAGCCCCTCACTGGCTGGAATGAACAGGCCAACTCATTCTCTGGCGGTAAAACTCTTAGACTTTTGGCCAAACTAACCCATTAAGTTCACCCTATTGGCTGAGATAACTCAATGAACCCATCTTATTGGATGAGATGACCTACTAAACTTTCCCAATTGGCTGAGATGACCCACTGAACTCTCCCTATTGGCTGAGACAACCCACTGAACTGTCCCTATTGGCTGAGATGACCCACTGAACTGTCCCTATTGGCTGAGATGACTCATTGAGCCCACTGTATTAGCCAAGATGACCCACTGAATTCTCTCTGCTTGCTGAGAGGACCAATAAATCCTCTTCATTTAGCTAGGATTACAGAATGAACTGTTCCTATTGGCTGTGATCACAAGGGGAACCTTTTTTATTGCCCAATGAAGCCTTTCTATTGGTTGAGGTAAACAATAAACCCTCCCTGTTAGCCAAAATAGCCTCCATGAGCTCTTGTTATTGGCACAAATGATGCTGAACCCTCTGTTAACCAGTAATCCCTTCCTTTGGAGGAGATGTCCCTTAGATCCTGCCTGTCCCATCTGACCACCAGGGAGGCACAAGGCCTGCAGCCCTCACCCTCTCCCAGGCCTCCAGTGACCTGTCTGCCAGGTGCTCACCATGATGTTTGGCAACGTGGCATATCGGGGTTCATTGAGCCGCAGGTCAGCGGTCACCACAGCAGGCAGCTTTAAGCGCAGGGTCTCCAGGCCCCCATCAATCTCCCGCTCCACTTTCAACTTGTCCCCTTCCAGCGTCAACTGGGAGGCGAAGGTGCCCTGGGGAGGGACAGTGTGAGGGGAGTAGGCAGGTTAATTCAGGGCAGGCCGCTCGCTGAGTGCACACACAGAGCCGCGGATGAATGAGGACAGGAGAGACAGAATCCTGCAAGGTGAGGGACGGACATCAAGTTCAACAGCGGGAGGAAGCCACAAAAAGGGACCTCAAAAATCTAGGGGAGGGTGTCTTTACTTTCACTGGAAGCCAAGGTGAAAGACCTACGTCCTAACACTCTGAACTTGTCAGTGGGTCTCCCTTCGTTAACAATAATGAGCACATATTGAAAACTGGGTGCCATTGGAAGTAATTTAAATGAATTAAGTCATCAGATCCTCATAGGAACTTTAGAAGGAAACGTTATTATTCCCATGTTACAGATAAGGAAAACTGAGCCAGAGAGAGGATCAATGACATTCCTCCTGTCGCCTGTAGCTGGCAAATCCAAAACTGTCACTGACACATCATTCTGTCCCCAGGAGTTGCCTTCAAGGCCCCTGTAGTGGGCTGACAACAGCCTTGTGTGCTCACCTCCCTCCCGAAAACATCCCCTGGGGCGCCATCTTCTTGGGTCCATGCCCATCCTCTGGCCAAAGGCCCTCCGCCCTGATTCATCATTTCCTGACCTGCACACTGTGTCTAACCAGCCTGTTCTCTCCCCTCACTGAGTCTTTCAGGTCTCAGCTGGAATGTCCTATTATTCTCATGGGCCTCTTTCGAGTGTCTGTGAGTCTAGCTCTGGGGGTACATCGTGAACATGTCCAGCCAGGACCAGCCAGGCCCCACCCAGCTTCAGCGGGCACCTGCCCTGGCCGCCAGTACCCAGGTGAACGCGCAGTCACCACTGGCCGCGAGCGGCTTCTGAGGGCGTGGAACGCGGCTAGTATGATTGAAGGAGGGCGGATTTTTTTCCTTTTTATCTAATTATTTTAAATTTAAAACCCAAGCAGTGAGATACATTATGAGGATCGTGGTGATGACTTCATGGATGTGTACGTGTTAAGAGTTTGCCAAACTGTACACTTCAAATATGTGAAGGTTTTTGTAGGCCGGTTATATCTCAACCAAGCTGTTTAAAAAAAAAAAAAAAAAGATGCTCAAGGTAGTTGTTAGAAAATGTTGAAGTCTGTTTGGGAAAACTTGGGTATGTGGATCTACTTTTTCAACTGTGAATTTTAGAAATCTAAATTAAGTATTTCTAATTGAAATTTTCTATCCTCTGAATTGAGAGGTGCTGTCGATATGAAATACACACTGGATTTCGAAGATTTCATACAGAAAGATAAAAGAATGGGGGGACTGGAGGCTGGTTAAAAAAGGTGAAGGTATTCAGAAACACAAATTGGTAGTTACAAAATGTTCACAGGGATGTAAAGTGCAGCACAGAGAATATAATCTGTGATATGATAATAACTACGTATGCTGTCAGATGGGTACTGGAAATATCTGGGGAAACACTTTGTAAATTATGTGATTACCAAACCACCACACTGTACACCTGAAGCTAATACAGAATAATACTGAATATCAACTGTGACTGAAAATAAATAAGTAAAGATACGGAAATGGGAAAAAAATTTAAAAATCAGTGCAAAGTAACTCAATATTTTTTATATTGATTACACGTTGAAATGATATTTAAGATATACTGGGTTAAATAAAATACCATTAAAATTAAGGTTGCCAGCTTCTCTGTACTGCTGAAATGTGGCTATGAAAAATTTCCCATGACCTCTGTGGCTCGTGTTTTTATAGGACTGCCACGGGCCGAGACGGGGAATCTGGAGCTTGGATGGGACATGAGCATCTCACAGAAGGTGAGCAAGGAAGGCTTCTCGGAGGAGGTGACAGCTGAGAGGCCTCCGCCTGAGGGAGGGGCTTCAAAGCCCTGAGGCAAGGATGAATTTGGTGTGGGTGAGGAGCAGGAGGGCTGGTGGGGATGGAGCACGTGAAGGCCCAGACGAGGCCTGCTGTCCTGGCTGGGTGCTTCTCCACCCCGCCCGCTGGAGCCGCTGTCCTGCTTCATGCCTGCCTCCCCCCAGAAGGGCAGGGACAAGGGCAGCTGAGTTCTGAGCCCCCAGGCCTGGCCCTTGGCAGGTGCTACCCATGCCAGCCTCACCTGTGGCCAGTCCAGAAATCCAGCTGTCATCTGCCCTGTCTGGTTACAGTCATCATCAATGGCCTGAGTGGGAAAAGAAAGAAAACTGGGTGACAATGTGGCTCTCACGCACTGCTGCGGCCTTTGTCTGCAACAGCGGTTGGCAAACATTTTCTACAATGGGCCAGAGGGCAAATGTCCCATAGGGTCTGTCACGGTGCCTCAACTGTGCAGTGCATGAGCCGCCATAGACAACACGTGCCTGTCTGTATAAACGAATGGGTGCCGTGATGTCCCAATAAAACTTTATTTACAAATTGGGGTCTCTGTGGGCCGCAGTTTACTGACGTCTAGTCTCACATGATCCCATCCCCTCACGTGGGTCCAGAGACAGGCAGTCCCTCATCCAGGGGCACAGAGGGCACCTGGCATCCCCAGTGTCAATCTGTGCCCTGTCTGAATCTTCACAGATGCCTCCTGTGATCCAGGCCCGGAGGGCCACACTGGGGAACTGAATGAATGGGATCTCAGCCAATGAGAACATTCTGCCCTTGACTCCAGTGATAGGCTCAGGGATGAACACATGACTCCAGCTAGACCAATGGAGAGTCAGCCTTGGGAGTGTTGCTAGAGCCCTTGGGAAGGAGGCTCTTTTTTTTCCTGCTGGGGTCAGTGGGTTGGTGGGATGTGAGCCTGGAGATGTAGAAAGTGAAGCCAAGACAGAGGGACAGAGCATAGAGCACCTATGTGACCTTGATCAAGTTGTGCCTGAAGCTCTCCTCATCTGAAGTAATAAGTTCACTTTTTAAAAAATCCTCACCTGAGGATATGTTTATTGATTTTAGACAGAGAGGAAGAGGAGAAACATCCATCGTTTGCCTCCTGTTTGCACTCTGACCAGGGAATCAAACCCACAACCTTTTGGTGTATGGGATGACGATCTAACCAACTAAGCCACCTGGCCAGGGCTAATAAGTTCGCTTTTGGTTAAGCCGGTGTGAGCTGCGATTCTGCCACCTACAACAAAGAGCATCCTGACCAGTGTCCCTGGCATCACCGCTGCCAGAGGCCCAGGCCCCAGGAACTGGCCCCTGACAACCAGGATGAGCAGAACGTCAGAGTCTGAGACCCACCAGCAAACGCGGGAAGCGTCAACAGGCCGTGCTGCCGGCACCTGTTACCTGGGGAGCCGGTGTGGCACCTGTGCCCGCCCAGCCCCGCCCCTGCCCTGTTGGCCTCCTCTCTGGTGAGAGCCTCTGCTTCGGTTTTCACAGTTGTGTTCTGGCTGCCCAGCTGTCCTCTCCGTTTTCTGCTGCCTGACATGGGCGGGACACCCAGCGACGCAGGTGGACCCATGAGTTTCCCCCGCTCCCCTGGGGCTGAGCCTGCCCTGTAGAATCTCTCCCTGCTGGGGCCCCAGCTCCATCTCTGAGTCTCCCGTGCATCCCGTCCAACCCGGGTCTGTCTGAGGCTCTTCCAGTGGCCCTCCTCTGCCTTCCTCCTGGGTGAGGCCAGCAGGCAGGGTCTCCAGGGCCTCTTCAGGGAATGGACAAGCCCAGGCACGCACCTGCCTTGGCTGGGAGTGCCCCGAGCTGGGGGAAGTTCTAGTTGAGTTCTTGCCCCCGGGTAACTCTGTTGGCCCTCAGCCACCTCCCTAAACAAACTCCTGGACTCCATCCAGTCTCTCCCCTTCCAGTCCAGTCCTCAGGGGGGTCTCTCTGCACCCACAGCTGATCCCGCTGCTTCCCGGTTCCCAGAGCCCCCATGGCTCTTGAGTGCCCTCCAAATGCCTCAGATCTCTGTTCAAGCCCAGGCCCTGGTCAGAACCCATGTGGATGGCCCCATCCTGGCCTGTCCCCCGTGCCTCCAAGCCACCCTGGACCCTGGCACCGTCCCTATGTCCTCCCACCCCCCCACTCTGTTGGGTCAAGCCCTGTCCCTCCCGCTGGACCTGTCTCTGCTCTGTCCCCTCGGCCTGGGTCCGGCCTCCTTGTCCCTCACATGGACAGCCATCATGGCCCCTGGGCGCCGATCACCCCACAGGGCCCCAAGGGGACTTTCTGAAGCTCACGGTGACCCTGTCCTTCCTGCTCAAACTCTCCACAGGCACAGCAAAGTCCCGAGCTGCTCGGCCCAAGGGTCCTGTGTGAACCTGAGCCTGAGTCCTGGGCCTCTCACTGCACTCCCTCCGCACTCCCAGGCAAGGGAGGGACGGGAGGGGCAGGCACACTCACCTGCTTGCCCAGCAGGACCAGGTTCACCTTCTCCTTCTCTGCCAACTTGGCCAGCACCCGGGCCACCTGCAGGGGACCGAGGCGGTCCGCCTCTGCAGCTGGCACCTCCACGTGAATGCCTCGGTCTGCGCCCATGGCCAGAGCAGTGCGGATGGTCTCCTGTCAAGAAAACAAGGGGCTTGCTCAGCTTCCAGCCCCAGGGCGATCCAGGATCATGGCCCCCAGCCCCTCTCCTTCAGACCCAAAACTCCAGCCTGAGCACCCCTCTGGGCCCCGGGATACCTGGCACTGGGAGGGCCCGCAGCTCACAGCAATGACCTCCTTCACCAGCTTCTTCTCTTTGAGCCGCACGGCCTCCTCCACGGCGATCTCGCAGAAGGGGTTCATGGAGTGCTTCACTCCGTCCGTCACCACACCTGTCTTGTCTGGCTTCACCCGGATCTGCTCAGCCAGGAGGGGAAGGGACAGGGTCAAGGGTCAGGCCTGCAGCACCAACCCTCACACTGGCCAGATGGGGACAACAGGGGCCTGGTCCAGGGTCCCATGGCTTCAGGGATAGAGCAGGACTACAATTCACCGGCTGGCAGAGGGTGGCCCTCTCACCCTCTTGTTCAGACAGTCCCTGGGCACCAGGGACACTTGACATGCTCGTCCCTACTCCATCGCTGCTCCTCAGGCCTGATAGAGTGTTTCTCAAAGTTTTGTTGCATCACCCGCAGTGAGAGATGTGTCTGATGATATCCCCAAATGTGTTATCAATACCCACGTAAGGGCTGCAAGGGCTGTATATGCACCATCTCATTTAATTGGTAACAGCCTAGGAGGCTGGTGACCGCCATTGCCATCCTTGTTTGACATATGGGGCAAGTGAGGCACAAACAGGCCAAGCACCTTGCCCAAGGCCACACAGCAAGGAAGTGGCGGGACCGGAGTCTAACCCCAAGTCTGTCTTGGGAACCACGGTGCCTCCAGGATGCCAAGCGACCCTGCCCACAGAGGCAGAAGAGTCAGTCTCCTTATTCCTTGGCCACTGTATCCAAGGGGGTTTTTATCAAGTGATTTCCAGTGGCTCTTCCTGAGCCCTTGACCCAGATCAAGGACTTCTGTCTTTGATCTATCAAGCAAGTCACTGGGCATGTTCTGGGGCTCCCGGCAGGGCACAGAGTAACCAGGACCCAGAGCCAGCAGGACAGCCCATGCCAGATGGGAGACGGTGGCCAGCAAGCAATGACAGCAGCAAAACGCTCAGGCAGCGGGCTGTGCTCAGGTGACCCTTCAACAGGACGCCTCCTGTGGGGGAGGGCAGATGGCGAAGATTGACATGCCTGAGGTGACCTGTGACCTGTGACCTGAGGGAGGAGGAGGGGCAAGGAGATGGAGGCAAAGTCATGTGCTTCCAAAACTGAGAGAAGGCCTGGCTGGTCAGGGTTAGGCTCAGGGGCAGAAACAGGTTTTGGCGGGGGGGGGGGGGGGGGGGGGGGGGGGGATAATTTCCATTCTTTGGAAGGTCCCTTTTAAGAAAATAATCATGAAGACAAAATCGCTCCAGCCTCTCCTTGGGCCTTGAGGGCCCTAAAGCTGAAGCCTCATCAGCCTCAGGGAAAATGTGTCCTTGGCCAGAAGTGGGTATTTCTGGGTCGCCAAATGCCTATTAATATACTAGACACACAGACACCCAGAGACAGCGATACACACACACACACACACACACATACTAAGCAGAACATTTATGTTTTGAATAAATGAGTAAATAAACTCTCATTATTATTAAGACCAATCATAACAATATCCACTGAGTACCAGCCAACATTTACTGTGTGCCAGGCACTGTGTTCAGAGCTTATTTATCGTCACTACAACCCAGTAAGGGAAGTACTAGCATTATCCCCATAGTAAGGGGAGGAAGCTGAGGCTCAGAGTGGCTAAGTGACTCCCCCAAGGTCACACAGCAGGAAACACGTCCAGGCAGCTGGGCTGGGAGTCCACCCCCTGAGCTGTGCCAGCAGTAGACCTGCTGTCTGAGATGGCAGTGACCACATCATTCAGACTCCCCTCCCCACCCGGAGCTCAGATTCTGGAAGCGGAGACAGTCACTGAAGCCAGATATCAGGAAATGACATCATAGGTTTTAAAGGGATCCCAGTGTGGGGGAAAATTCAGCAAGGAAGCAGACAGGGACCTCGGGGCTGAGGTTCGAAGTAGGTGACCAGGAAAGGCCTCACAGAGAAGGTGACATTTGACCAAAGACTGGAAGGAGGTGAGAAGGGGTTCTGGGAACACAGAGGTGGGTCAGAGCTGGCACACCCCGAAAGGAACTGCAGGAGGGGGAACTGCAGAGTGACAACTGGGTACACAAAGGACCACAGTTCAGTGTGGGGAGGGCTGAGTAAGAAAAGCCCAGTCCTGCAGGAGCACCTAAGGACACACCAACATAGCCTGATCTGAGGAGGCAGAATGGGGGGCTTCCTGGAGGAGGCTATGCCAGAGAAGCACTAAACTTTGATGCAACACCAGTCAAAATTAGGCAGGACAAGGGAGGGGTGAGACGCAGAGGTTGCAGGGTGAAGTGGGAAGGGTGTCCAGGCAGAAAGCACAGCAGGGACAAAGTCCCAAGGCACGGAGCGGCCTGGTCTGTTGGGGAAAGTACAGCAGGTTGGAACTATGGAAGCACAGAGGGCAAGGGAGGAACAGGGGGATGTGGTAAGCTAAAGGGGACCAAGGCTGAACTTCAAAGGGCCTTGAACACCAAGCTGAGGGGTGGGACCTTGTCCTGAAGGTGCGGGGCCACTGGAGGGGCAGGGCAGCTCCAGGTGCGGGGAGACCCCTAAGGCTGAGAGCTAGGAAGGAAACCAGAGTGAGGGTCCATCTGTGAGAAGATGAAGCCTGAACTACTGTGGCCGTGAGGATGGACAAGAGGGAGACAGAGAGGGCAGGTGGGCTGGGCTGAGCCGATGGGCTGTGGGAAGTGAGAGGTGGGTCTAGCCTGGTCATTAGGTCATTGCCAGGGTTTGAATCAGTTATTTCTTCAGAAAGGGATGTCAACAGACACATCCATGGAGACAGGATGCAATGGAGGGGGCCCTGGGGCACTGTGGGCGGGGCACACGGCACCCACACTTTGGGAAAGTTTGGGAACTGATACCAGGATGCTCCACTTTTCCTTTCACGCAGCACACACAATGAAGGCACCCACGTGCAGGGCCCCAGGCTGGTGATGCTGGGACCCAGAGCTGAGTAAACCCTGTAAGCCTTCCTGCTGGGGGAGACAGATGTGACCCCAGACGTCTCAGGCCAGGGACCAGGGCTGGGGTTGGATCAGGGCTGAGAGAGGCCCAGAGGGCTATGGAGCCCAAAGGAACAGTCAGAGTTGGGAGGAGCCCAGGAGAGTGGGGTCCCACAACCCCAAGAGGAGCATGTTTCAAAAAGCCTGGAGGCAACAAATGCTGGATGTGGAGCAACTGTTGAGGGGAATGGGAGGGGCAGACTGGAGCAGGACTTGCTCTGTTTCAGTGCTGCCCGTCGCTGCCTATTGGATGATGTGGCAAGTAACAGAGCCTTCACGGGCCTCAGTTTCCTCACCTGTCCAATGGGATGAGTAAGTCTAGAGAATAGTGAAAGGACTGAATGGGTGAATCTCAGCCAAGGACTTAGAACACTGCCTGATGGACAGTTAAGTACCCACCAAATGTGAGCTGTTATGATTACCGATATTTTCATGCCGAGGCTAGGCTCCTGCGCCCTTCTCCCCACCACATTCCCCAGCGTAGCAGGGGCCTCACTTCACCCATCCAAAAGCCTCCAGCATGCTGGGTCCTGTGTGGGGCAATGCTGGGGACACAGAGGCAGGGTTCCAGTATGATGGGAGGGAGGAGGAGGGGGAGAGATACGGATGGGCAGTCACCCATCAGCTTCTCTCTGGGGCAAGCCAGGCTCTCAGAAACGTCCCCCAAAAGTCTCACGGAGGACATGAGCCACCCCCAAAGACTCAGCAGACTGGCTTCCATCGCTAGCAAACACTTTTCCCTCCCTTCCTAGCTCGGGCCTCTTCACTCACCCTGTAGCTTTGTGGGGTGGAACGGAGCTTCTGGGTTCCCCCAGCACCCTGTCTGAGCTCCATTACAGCACGTTTCCTGTATTGTAAGAGTTGATGGAGTTTGCAGTGCAGCCTAGTGGGCGAAAGCGTGGCTTGTGTGCAAAGCGCTCGTTGGGGTGCGGACTTGGACCTGGACAGCAATTTCGGCTCTGCCCCTTCAGGGCTCTGTGACCTCTCTGTGCCTCAGTTTCTCCATGGGTTAAACGGGGAACATGACTGACTCCTCCAGCACGTTAAGAAATAGCGACGGTAACTCGCCCTGCACGCAATTAAGACAGTGAGTTCAGAACCGGGGAAAAGGAAACGGGGTCATAACCCCGGAGGGGGGTTCGGATGTCAGAACCTCAGTCCTTGATCTTTGCCCTGAGGTGCGACTTTGACGTTCGGGGAGGAGAGCGGCAGAGATCAGAGGTTACGCGAAGACCCCTCATACAGGGTGCTCTCGTGATCCCAGAAGCACACGGCCGCGGGGCACAGGGAGGTGGGAGAGGGGAGCCCGGTCACCTTCACGGCGAAGTCGATGACCCTCTTGACTGCCACGAGCGCGCGCAGCTCCGCCATCTTCCTGCCTCCGCCACCTGCCCGGTCAGGCCTCACCCTCCGCCTCTGGGTCCTGACGCCCCGTCCCGTTCTCTTTTGCGCCTGCGCTCCGGCCGCCAGCCAGTCATTCTCTACGGTGCCCGCCTCCTCCCCGAAAAGGGGCCAATCGAGAGGCCGGAGCAGGGAGGTGTGTCAAGCGCATGGGGACCAATGGGAAGCGGATTCCGGAGAGAGCGGCGGGACCCCGCGGGTACGGGACAGTGGCTTTGTGAAGCTGGACTGATGGGAAACTAGGGGAAAGGTCGTTCCCGGGAGGGAGGCGCTCTCGGGAGTGGAACTATTGCCTGTCATCCCAAATTTTTCCAGCGTCCTCGGATCTACCCCCGCCGCTAGGTCCCTGCCTCTTCCTTGCTTCTCAAAGTCACAGTGTCTGTGTGCCCACGCCCACCCCATGCAGACGATGCCCCCGCCTCTGAGTCCTCCCGCGTCTGTCTCCTTATTTCCTCCATGTCCTGTCCCTACAGCCTCTCCGTGCGCCCCTGTCCGCTCCTGACTCCACTCCCCCTTGTCCCCGAACCCCTCCACATCCACGTCATTTGTCCACTCCATATTTGTATATCCATGCCCATGTCCTCCAGGCCTTCACGTCCCCTATAGCTCCATGTCCTTATGTCCTCTCTGAGCCTCTATCTACCCTCCGTGCCCAAATCCTCGTACTCTTCAGGGTCATATTTCCACATGTGTCTACGCCGCCCGTGTCTGCGTCCTCACATTCCCCAGAAAGGCAGGCGGAGCGGCGGAGGTTGAGCCGTTCCTTTATTCTGCCCCAGGCAGGCTGCGGTCACAAGCACACAGGAAACCCACCGATGGCTTCTGTACTCTGCACGATCATGTCCGCCATCAGGAAGCAGAAGCCTGGCGGGAGGGGAGAGGAGGGCGGGTGGAGGGCGGTGGGTCCTGGGACGGGTGACCGGGAGGGCCCCAGGGCCTGGGGTTTGGGGCTCCAAGGCGTCTCTGCCGGGTCTGTGAAAGTCAGGAGTGGAGTATGGTGGGGGGTCCCCTGGAGGTCAAAATGGGGTTTGCTGGAAGGGCGGCTGAGAAGTCTCAGCGGGAGAGGAGGGTCCCCTGCATAGGCTTCTCCACCCTCTTCCCGCTGTCCACATTACCGGCGAGAATACAGAACGGTAAAGCCAGCCACCCCGAAAAATAGGACCAGGAGAAGAAGACGTCGCTTTTCCACGCATTCTTTACGGTGTAGCCTGTCAAAGCGATCAGCAGCAGCAAGCCTGGCCCCGCCCACCCGCTAGGTAAGCAGGCCCGGAGGGGCTGCACCTAGGTCCCACCCAGACCCCGCCTACCCAAAGACCACGCCCCTTATGGGCGATCCCGATCGATGGGGCCACGCCCACCTTCCCGGGCCCGCCCTTGACCCCTCCCCTTCCTGCTCTGCCCACCCTCCTGGGTCACCAGCCCCTCCCCTCGGCTCACTTCCTGTGGACCCCTGCCCACGGTTCAGAGGCCTGCAGCAGTCTCACCGCAGAGGAAGAAGATAGCGCTCGTAGTCTGGCCCCGCGAGTCGCTCTCGTGACACACAATCCGCAGCCCCATCATCAAGCCCACGATGCTGGAGCCCGCCGCCAGCACCATGCATGCCCCGGTCACCGCCAGCATGGCTGGGAAGAGCCGGCTGCCTCAGCCCCTCGCAGACGCCGCACCTGACCACCGCCCCCACCAGCCGGTACCGGCTGGCCACAGAGTCAGGGGTTTGGATAGGGACTTGAAAGTCGTCCTGAGGGCTTTGTCGTGTTCGTGGTGGCTTCTTTCACGGAGGGGCAGCTGGATCTGAGACCGTCGTGGAAGGGATTGAATGCCCCCCTCCCGCCGCAGGATGTGCCCAGCTGTTGTGTCAGGAGAGGGGGACGGCTGTGGTCAGTTCTGGGTCTGTGTAGTGGGGGTCTGACATCTGAATGGGCTGGGCCTCACTCTGGCAGGGGATGTTAGAGCAGATGCCACCGTTACAATCCTGCCACAGGCCGCTGTGACCCCCCGGGAAGCGGATCCAGTAGTTGGTGGAAGTGGAGAGAATCATGAGGATGTTGGCCAAGAAACCCAGTAGGGTGCCACCGCTCTGAAGGCTCCGCTTCACCCCCATGCCAGGGAGGCTGCTGTGGGGGAGGGGGGCCCCCACATGAATGACGGGCCACCACCCCTCCTGCCCCCAGGCCCCTCTCCAGGTTCTGAGAGTCTCTCCCACATGTCCCTTCATATCACAGCTGGCTATCTCAGCACCCCTGCCTGGGGCCGCTACTTCTGGGGACCTGGAGGCGCCCCCTCAGCTCCTCCCATTGCAACCCCCTCCCCCAGCAACCCTGCCTGCAGACTTTGAGGCCTCCCTCTGCCCCAGGAGTCCCTGCTTAGGAACCTCCCTGCCTTCCAGATACCTCCATCTCCCCAGTGGAATGTCCTTTTGGCCTGTCTGGTGTGCTCCCCACTGTCCACCCCCACACACCCACCTAAGTGACTTACAGCCAGCTCCCAGGGCTTCTTAGAGGCAGAACTCAGAAGGGTGGGGGAAGGGGGACTGGGTGAGTCTCTGTGAGGCAGCAGGAGTTCCAGAACCCCCTCTCCCAGCAGCCATTTAAAGAGATACCCCCCCCACACACACATATACAGGCATCTCTCCCAGCAAAGCGACAGCTCAGAGTCAAATGGCAGGTCTGGGGGGAGCCTGAGAGCCATGACATGGTAGACCATGTCCTTCTGAAAACCTCTCTGCCCTTTTCCCCATAAGGACTCCTGATCCCTGGCTTTGACTAAGTTTCCCAGGTGCCCACACGGGCTCCTGCCCCTCCTGCTCCCTGCATCCTGTACCTGCCCCCAGGTGAGTTTCCTCACCCCCACAGTTCCAGGGACCACGAGGCTCTGAAAGTATCGCAAACTCCATCTCCAGCCCTGGTCTCTCTTCCCAACCTCAGACCGGAGTCCTCGCCTGCTCCTGGCTGTCTCCCAGACCCCTGGCAGGCAGTCACCTCCCACCTGAGCTCAGCATCTCCCACCAAACAAGGACAGTCCCGCCGTCCCACCCCTGGGCACTATCCTTGCGCCTTCCTGCCCCTCACCCCACAAAGCCCTTGGATCCCCAAGTCTGGTTTCTCCTGCTCCCTGAATATTTCTGGCTCCTCCCCTCCTGTCCACCTCATGCCCTGTTCCCAGTCAGGCCTTGTACTGACTCCTGTTTTACCTGTGGCATCCCCAAGCTCCTCTCTCCCTTTCAGCCTCTTCGGTGCCCCAGAGAGGGAGGGCTTGCTGACCCCGGAGCTGACACGGTCCCTCCACTGCTTGCATCCTGGCCCCCCTAATGCCCTCAGGAGAGAGTCAGTTGTGGTGTTTGGGGTCCTGGCTCCCACCCACCACTCCATTCTCATTTTCTTGCAACCAACCACCCCCACATTGCACATTCCGGCCACAAAGCACCGTTTACCCTCTGTACGCTTCCAGCCTTTTCATGCCTCCACCTTGGAGTTCTTCTGCTTGGATTACCTTCCCTTGGCCCTTAAGAAGTCCCTAAACAGCCCTGGCTGGTGTGGCTCAGTGGTTTGAGTGCCGGCCTGTGAACCTAAGGGTCACTGGTTTGATTCCCAGTCAAGGCACATGCCTGGGTTGCAGGCCAGGTCCCCAGTGGGGGGGGACGCGCACACGAGAGGCAACCACACATTGATGTTTCTCTCCCTCTCTTCCTCCCTTCCCCTCTCTGAAAATAAATAAATACGATAAAAAAAAAACCCTCTTCCCCAGAAAGCTCACGTCTGCTTTCCTCCACGACACGACCACCTGTTGTCCCACGCCCCCCCTCACTGGACTTGCAGCTCTGTGAAGTCCAGCAAAAAGGATGCGCTTGGGAAAAGCCAGCAGGAGGGAGTATTAATTCACTCCCTTGACTGAATGAGCAAGGCGAACTAGAGCACAGGTGAGGGACAAAGAGGGAGTGAGAAGGAAAGCTCTAAAGCATGAAAGGCACAGGAAAGAAAAGAGAGAGGAGGACAACGCAGAGAGATGGAAGCAGAAGTGGGAGAAAGGAGAAAAACCAGGTCCGGAGAAGGGGACAGAGAATATAGGGCACTGACCAAGTCCACCCTGGGCGGGAGTCCCCTGAAAACAAATGGAGGTTTCTGACTCCTGGGTGCCCACTGTCACCCATCATGGAGCTAACATGCCATTGGCTTGTGTCATGAGTGAATGAATCTCAGAACAACCAGATTCCAGCCATCTATTTTTTGAATGAATGAAGACACAAACCAAGGGGCTATGGAAGGGCTGGGGAGAGGGCCGAGGGAGGGCCAGGGGGCCCTGTCGTTCCTGACGTTGCCTTCAGACCCACTGTCTTCACCTGCAGCTCACAGGGTGTCGTAGCCCGGCCGGGGGACCTGGCAGTGGGCAGCCAGACTCAGGCCACCTGGAATGGCAGAGGTTAGCATTTGCCCCCACCCTGCTCCCTCAGAGCCCCCAGCAGGCCCTCCCGACCTCCTGGGGCAACAGTTACCTGTAGTGAGAAAAAGGGGAACCGAGATCCAGCCCACGTAGAAGGACCAGCCGAACAAGGACTGGACCTGGGGGTTCGCAGGTTGGTTCCACCGCTCACTGGTATAGACCGCCATGGCCACCAACATGGAGAGGGCTGGGACAAGAGACAAGAAGACCGCTCAGCCGCTCTGGGGGAACTCGCAGTCCCCAATGCCCACGGGCAGCCCAGAGTCCTCACCTGCAGTGAAGGTTGTAATGCAAGAGACCAGGGGGCCGCGGCCCGGGGCAGACAGCGAGGGGATGCAGGACAGGACCAGGAAGACCACGGATACCAGGCCGCACAGGGCAGCCAGGATGCTGAAGGTCTGTGTCGCACGGATGTAGCCTGCTCAGACAGGGGACCGCTGAGGGCCTGCTCCCGCTGGCTCTTCTTCTCCCCTAACCCCCAGACAAGAGAAACCACTCCCCCTTACCTGCTACGGAGTGCTGATCCCCCTTTGGCCAGAGGCCAGAGTGAGATGAATAGTGGGGCCCCTTGGCCACAAACCAGAAATCTGTGCTCATAGCAACGAGGACAGATGTCAGGGCCAAGGAGCCAGCCAGCAGGGCCAGGGACCGACAGGGCTCCATGGGGGTGAGCACTGGGTATCTGGGTCCTGAGGAATGAGGAAGCTGGTGGTCCGGCCTCCTGGGTCTCTCGGAGAAGAGGCTGTGCCCCCTGACTCCTGCGGCCTCTGAGCTGCTAAAAAAAAAAAAAAATGGAAGAAGAGGAAGCAGCCAGCAAGCAATACAAGCAACTGGAGGAGCCCTTGCTCCTGGTGAGCAGGCTGGTTCTGTTTCACCTTTTCAGTTCCCGGCAACCACTCAGTCACACACCCTCCCTTCCTCGGATGTACTGATAACTTCTCCCCTTCCTGAGGTCCTGGTTGTGTGAGGGGAAGGGTGTCATCATCATCCGTGGTTTGGTTGGTGGTTCAGAACATGCCTCTCTATCTCAGGTTCTGTACCTCTCCCCGCCCCCCCCCCAGCCCTCAACACCCAAGGGGGGCTTCCCGGAAGAGATGACAGAGAGAGGCTTCAGAGCTCAGAAGTGGGGGTGGCAAATGAGGCCAGGGTGTAAATTAAGTGTGAGGAGGGATGTGGCCAGAAGGGGCAGTTGGGGATGCGTTATGTTTTCTTGTGGGTGTTGCAACCTTCCGGTCTGGGAGAGCGAGGCCCTTGCTCTAGGGTCCCCACAAAAGGAGGGGGCTGGCGGCCATGGTGCCTGGGGCTGAAGGAGACATGACCTGCAGGCATGGACACCAGGTCCTGAGGGAGGAAGGGGTGGGTGGGCCGGTGGTGCAGGCTCAGACTACTGAAGCCCTGCATGGAGCTTATACTTAAGGTGGAGAATCACAATTCTAAAAGTCTTGTGGAGGGGAAGACTTGCCCACATCCTCATCTACAAATGAGCTCATGGACAGCTCTGCTCTGAGCACGGCTGGCTCTATCACCAGGACCATGGTAGCTGGCGGGGGGGCTTCTTCCTCCCACACCGGCATCAGGTCCTGGGCAGCGCCTCGCCTGTGAGCAGGTGTAAGTGCCACAGCCCTGGCAGAAGGCTCAGGCAAACTTGACCCCTGTGAACGTGGAATGGCCCTGAAGAAGACCCCTGTTGTGAAGACAAACTGAGCCAGAAGTCCCAGGACGGCCGGAGAAGGCAGAACCAGTGACCCAGCAGGCCAGTTCTCTTCCTTTATGGGAGAGTCCCCGTCCTCCGCCCAAACCTTCACCAGTGAGGTGACCGGCCATTCCTGAGAACATGACCTCAAGGACAGGCTCCCAGAGGTGGAGCCAGGTCATGAGCAGGAGGGTCACCAGCACAAAAATGGCCGTGGACATGGCTCCGGTGAGGAGCAGGTGGACAGGCTGCAGGAAGTCTGGGCCGTGGGCGTGTGGTTAGGGGGAAATTGAGAGCACTGAGCCTTCTGTGATCTTGACCCCATCCCAGACTCAACCACATCCTCCACCCCATCCCGATTCCCAGCCTAACCCCATTCTAATTTCCAAACCTATCTCTCAACTCAATCTCACCCCACCTCAAACACAACCCATCCCTGAATCCCAGCTCCAATCCCTAATTTAGCACCATCCCTATCCCCCAACCTAACTTCATTCTTTAAAATTTTTTTTATTTTTAGAGAGAGGGGAAGGGAGGGAGAAAGAAAGGGAGAGATACATCAGTGTGTGTTGCCTACTGAGTGCCCCCTACTGGGGAGCTGGCCTGCAACCTAGGCCTGTGCCCTGACTGGGAATTGAACTGCAACCCTTTGGTTCGCAGACCACCCTCAATCCACTGAGCCACACCAGCCAGGGCCTAACCTCATTCTTACTGACAAACCCAACCCCAACCCCAAACTCATTCTGAAACTTAACCCTAACCTCATCCCCACCATGACACCAGATCATTTTTAATCCCAACTCCAGCCCCAGTCCTATACCCACCTCCTTCTTCATGCTTCTCCCCAAACCCTACGCATCCAGTCTCAACTCCGCCCCATTTCCTCTTCATCCCACTTCCAGGTTCAAGGCTTTAACCCTGTTTCTCATCTCCTTAAGTCTCACCCCTGCCCATTGACCAAAGAAAAGTGGATCTTGCCTGGTCCTGAGAGGGAACCTCTGAACTCTTGGAATGTCCTGCCTGATAAATGTCTCTGTTTCCCCGGAGTCCTAGACCCATACCAGGTAGTTTAGGCTACGAACGTGGCTTATGGAGAGGGGTGTGCTATACATAGTTTCCTGGACAGGCTGGAAACTGAATAACTAAGTTCAGCCTGGTGGGTGCTCCCTGCTCACAAAACAGACGTCCCATGAAAAGCCTGGACACCAGAGTTTGGGTGAGCTTCCCCTGTTGGCAGTGCTTGGTGTCGTTACACAGCATTAGAAGTAAGTGCTACTGCTGGGACTCCTCTGGGAGAGACAACTGGGAGCTGGTACCTGGTCCTGCTGGGATGCTGCCCGGGGAGGCTTCTGCCTGTGCTGATGTAAAACTGCACCATGAACTGTGAGCACAACAGTTTTCTTGAGCCCTGTGAGTCCTTCCAGCAGCTCATTGGATTCTGGGGTGGTCTTGAAGACCCCTGAGCTTCAGTGAGCGTGGGGGGATTCAGTCAGAGAGTTACTGGGGGCCAGAACACATGGCGTTTTGTGTGGCCTTGATAGACTTGAGCTTTTCACCTGAGATCAGAGCCACTGGAGGGCTTTGAGCAGGAGGGACGTGATTTTACTAAATTCTCCTCCAGATGCTGCATGGAGAATGAACTGTAAGACTGCAGGGGGTGGAGGGTAAGGGCTGAGCCGTTTAGGAGGGTGCGTCAATGAAACCAGGTGATAGATGAGGGTGGAAACTGGTTAAGCAGGACAGAGTCGAACTGCAAACACATTTTTTTAAAGGAGAGCCGACACTACTGGCTGACAAATTAGATGTGGGATGTAACAGAGAGAAAACAGGGGAGGATGATACCCACGTTTGTGACTTGAGCGACTGGGTAAAAAATGGGAATTGTCATTTACTGAGATGGGGGAGACCATGGGCAGAACCGGTGTGGGGTGTGAGAGAGACTAGAAACTCAGAGTCAGATCTGTGAGGCACAAGATGCCTCTTCTCTGCGAGGGGAAATGTTGAGTAAGAAGTTGGAGATACGAGTTTGCGGTCATGACATCATGCTTACCAGAGCAAGCCCCTATAAATATAATTTCTGGAATAAGCCTCAGTAAATATTTCTACTTAAAGAGGCTTCAGTAAAGTGTAATTAGAGAAGGCCTCAATTGCCATTATTATTGGAAGAAGCCTCTATAAACATAGTATTACTATTATTTGAGGAGGCCCCAATAAATATTATTTCCGGGGAGTCAGCCTCTATTAGTATAACAATTACTAGAATAGGCTGTGGTAAATGTTCTCATTGTTAGAACTGGCCTGTTAAACAGTCTTACTATTTTATGATCGGCATCAGTCACTCTCAGGGTAGCTGGTATCAATTTGTTGAATAAAGTAATGAAGGAGTGAATGAAGAGAAAGTCAAGGTCATGAATAGTGTGTGTGAAGAAGCAGGTGAAGGAGGCAAAGCATCAGAGTTCCTGTGTTTGCAGTGGGAGGAGCTTCTTAGGAGGCGAGAGGAGGTTGGGAGACCCAACTAGAGATGGGGCAGGGCAGCTGGGGAGGGAAGCTGGTTTTTATTTTATTTATTTTATTTATTTTATTTTTACCAAGATTTCTATTTATCCTATTATCCTACTGTGGTGTTGTGATTTATAATAAGCAATGCATATTTGGTTGAGTTCTGATGGCAATAGCTCCTGAAGCCCCTGGAATTTCCCGAGTCATGAAAGCCATAAAGGTGTGTGTAGCGATGGAAAGGGGCGACTTTTGTACCCCACGTAGGGATTGGGGAATGTTTGCCAGTGGGGCCAATCGGGTTGGAGGGTTGGATCTTCCAGGCCCAGCCCCCGACCTCTGGGGAGGAGAGAGGGGCTGGAGGTTGAGTTCAATCACTAATGGTCAGAGACGTAATCGATCACACTTATGTAATGATACCTTCTCAGGAAGCTTCAGGGGTGGTGAGCCCTTGAAGATTTGGGGAGAAGGGTGACTTCAGAGAGAATGAGAAGCTCCAGGCCCTTCCCCACACTTTCCCGTACCTGGCCCTATGCATCCCTCCCATCTGGCTATTCCTGAGTTATATCATTTTATAAAAAAACAAAACCAAAAACTGGTAATCTAGTAAGTAACATGTTTTCCTGAGTCCTATGAGCCACTCTAGCAAATGAATGGAACCCAAGGAGGGGGTCGTGGCAGCCTCCAATCTATAGCTGGTGGCCAGGAACTCAGGGGACATCCTGGACTAGCAGCTGCCATCTGAAGGCACAGAGGCAGCATGGTAAGAGTGAGCCCTTAACCTGTGGGGTCTGATGCTGTCTCCAGGTCGGTAATGACAGAACTGAGTTACCCGCTGGGTGGTGTGAGGGAGAAACACACACGTGGGATCTGGCATCTGAACTGGACCTACACATAAGTTTCCTAGACGTTGAACTTGGTCTCTGCGGGGCGAAGTGACTCATCTCGGTCCCCTCACCGGTGGCACCAGCAGGTGGGGTTGCTATCACACACTCCCCCTCCCAACCCCACCCACCACACTCCCTCTGCGCCTCAGGGAGTCACACTAGAGTCGTTTCACTTCAATTTTATTATTAGACTCCCCCCCAAATCGCTCTAACAGATACTCCATTTCTCAGACAGCCACCCTAGCGGGTGGGGCCTTGGTTCTCCTTAGCTCCCTCCCACCAGGCTCCATTCTTCCTTCTTCCCCTGCAGGACTCAGGAGTCAGGCGGCCCCACCCAGAGTCCAGGATGGAGCCCCCTTATGCCCCCCAGGAACCAGGATTTCAGGCCTCCAAGACCCTCCGGGCCCCCCCTCCCCGCTCAGGGTCCTCAGTTTCACTTCCCGATGAAGCTGGTGGATACACCTGGGCTCAGCGGGAAGTGGACAGGCGCTGACATTCATGCATCCGGTAGGCACACATGTAGAAAATTCCTGTGGGGAGAAGGTTCCGATGGACGACCCGCCCAAGCCTCAGCGCCCCTTTCTCCCTGGGTGTCCACAGAGCCTGGGTCTGCCTTCCGGCTGCGTGCTAGGGGCCTGTGTGGGACACCCGCTCATCCCCAGACCATGTCCCCCCCCCCCCCAGCGCCGGTACCTGCAAAGAAGGTCATGAGCAGGGCCACCCAGCCCAGGATGTAAGACCAGGAAAAGCGCCAGTCCCCAAAACGGCGACCGAGGAAGCTGACGGTGACTCCAGTGTAAATGGCCAAGGCCAGCAGGACGCACAAGGCTGGGGAGAGAGGGTGGGGGTGGGAACCCGAAGAGGCTGGGCTTGGAGATGGGGGTGGGGGTGAGATTGTGGAAAGGGGTGGGTGGGTGGGGATGGGGGTAAGGGTGAGGACAGGATCGAGTTGAAAGTGGGAGTAAAGAGGGACAGGAAGTGGGGTTGGTGTGGGCATGAAGGATGGTTGTGGTATGTCATAAAGAATCTGAGCCCAGGCTGGTGTGGCTCAGTGGACTGAGTACTGACCTGTGAACCAAAAGGTCACTAATTTGATTCCTGGTCAGGGCACATGCCTGGGTTGTGGGCCCCATCCCCACTAGGGGGAGCTCCAGAGGCAATCGCACATTGGTGTTTCTCTCCCTCCCTTTCTCCTTCCCTTTCCCTCTCTCTAAAAATAAATAAATAGCATCTTTTTTTAAAAAAATTAGAACAAAAATAATCTGACTGGTCTTTGTCTCTGGTTCCTGGGAGATGGACTTCTGAACCATTGGGATTTCCTGGGTTGTGAGTGTCTTTGCTATTGTTGAGCCACTGAGATCACACCCATTACTGAGGGGGGATGACTCAGGAGAGGGAGCCGGTCAGCAGAAAGATCAAACAGCAAAACAGAGAGTGGAGACTTTGAGCTGGTTGATACCGGCCCCTCTGGGGAGGGGACTTGGGGAGAGATTGAGTTCAATCACGTGGCCAGCGATTCAATGGCGAAGCTCCAGCAAACGCTCTGGATGCTGAGCGCCCTGGAGTGTCCTGGGTTGATGGACAGCAGGTGCGCTGGGAGGGCGACGCCCCTTTCAGACTTCTCCCTCTGAATCTGTTTGTGTGGCTGGTCTTGAGCCAATCCTTTATAATAAAACTGTAATTGTAAGTATAGTGCTTTTTGGAGTTTGGTGAGCTGTTGTGATAAATTTTCCAACCTGAGTGGGTCCTGGGAACCCTCCAGTTTGGAGCGAGTTGGTCAAAAGTGCAAGCGGAGCCCTGGCTGGTGTGGCTCAGTGGATTGAGCGCCGGACTGCAAACCAAAGGGTTCGCACTGGACTGGGTTGTGGGCCAGGTCCCCAGTAGGGGGCGCCCGAGAGGGAACCACAGACTGATGTTTCCTCTTTCTCCCTCCCTTTCCCTCTCTGAAAATAAATAAATAAAACATATATATTTTTTAAAGTGCAAGTGGTTTGAGAACCCCACCTGCAGCTGAAGTTGGGGCAGCCTTTTTGGAAACCGGGCCCTTCTGCCTGTGGCGTCTGACGCTAACTCTGGGTGGTCGTGCCAGACTGAACTGCAGTGTTGGAATAGGTGGAATGGGAAACAGCCTTAGAGTCAGTATTGGGCCTGGAGCTGGGATTATTAGGCCGGGGCCGGGGTTGAGAGTGAGGAGTCTGGGACCAGAGTGTGGTTTCCGGGCGGGGACGGATTGGGGTTTGGAAGACGAGTAGTGTAGGGGAAGTCCACTCACTGGAGGCGAAAAACATGATGCCGGCCGAGAAGGGTCGGGAGAGGCGGGTGAAGGCGGGCTGCTGAGCGAAGGCCAGGATGCCCATGATGATGCCGGAGGTGGCACACAGGGAGGACAGGATCATGAAGGCCCGGGTGGCATTCCAGTACGCTGTGGGAGCGCCGCCCGGTCACTCCCAGGCCTCCTCCGCCCTCAGCGGCGAAGGGCGCCACCTCTGAGGGCGGTCTTGCCTGACCCCGCTCTATATCCCTCCCCAGATTCTCCTTCACCTGCGCCCTCCCCTTCACCTGTCCATCCTCCAACCTCCTCCTCTAGGGAGCATCCCTTCACTCCTGGGCAACATCCTCGCCCCCTGTTCTGCACTGTGACTGGGCTGTGTCTGCCTTTCCCTGCAACCCGATTGCTCCCCGAGAACAGGGACTGGGTTGATTCTACCTCGAGGTATGCCCAGCATAGGTTTGGTGCTCACACGGCCTTGGAGAAATGTCTGTTGGGTGAATGAATGAATGATGCGGATTTCCCATATCATGCTGCTCATCATTCTTTATCCTCTCTGCCATTGCTGTATTTCACTGGCCTGTATCTGAAGACGCTCCATTTATTTGTTTTTAACTTGTTTTGGTGTCTGTCTCTCCCCAGTGAGTTCTTAGCTCTGGGAGAGCAGAGGTCTTGCTACATTCCCAGCACCTCGCACCTGGCACATGGCGGCTACTCAATAAACAACCAGCTGAATGAGTGGATGGTAAGCCACTCATGGGGGTCGTTATTCTCTTTTCATAAAATGTGTATTGTGTAATATACTATATCCCACATAGAGACATAGTATTTACATAATATATATTATTTACATACTACACAATACATATACATAATATACATTGCAAGAGCCCTGTACTTACTATTCTCACTCCCATATTGATAATATATATTGTAACATACACATATACCTATATATATTATATAGCCTGGTACATAGCAAGTATAAAACAATACCTCATTCAGCCCTGGCTGGTGTAGCTCAGTGGATTGAGCATGGGCCTGTGAAGCAAAGGGTCACTGGCTCGATTCCCAGTCAGGGCACATGCCTGGGTTGCAGGCCAGGTCCCCAGTAGGGGGCGCATGAGAGGCAACCACACATTGATGTTTCTCTCCCACTCTTTCTCCTTCCCTTCCCCTCTCTCTAAAATAAATAAATAAACAAATAAATAAATAAAATATTAGCAAAAAAACCTCATTCAGTACTTAGCAAATATAAGGTCTATCTCGCTTCTGGGTTCCCCAGTACCTAACATAGGTTTCTTTTCTCAATTAAAGTTGACATTCAAGATCATTTTATATTAGTTTCAGCTGTTCCACATACTTGGTAGACAATTATACGATTTATGAACTCATCCCCTGATCATTCAAGCCGCCACCTGCAACCATATATAGTTATCACATTATTATTTACTCTATTTCCTATGCTGTCCTTTCCATCCCTGTGACTGTTCTGGAACTACCAACCTGCACTTCTCAATCCTGTCACCTTTCTCCCCCAGTCCCCTAACCTCCCCTCCCATCTGGTGACCACCAGTCTGTCCTCTGGGTCTGTGAGTCTGTTTCTGTTTTGCTGGTTCCTTTATTTTGTTCTTTAGACTCCACACCTAAGCGAAATCATATATGGTAGTTATGTTTTTCTGACTTACTTTACTTAGCATGGTAACACAGTTCTTCACGCACAGCTAGAAACCGCTGTTCTGGCCACCCCAGACCCAGCCTGCTGTACCTGACCTCTGTTTTATGCAGAGGTACCACCCCTCCCGACTGAATCCCCCCATCAGCACATTCTGTAATTGCACTGAAGAACTGAAATCCCAGCTTTGTCCCTTCCATGCTCCGTGACCTTGGGTTGGTCCCTGTCCTTCTCTGAGCCACAGGCTCTGCCCTGAGGTGCAGCCCAGACCCCAGACCCCGCCAGGACCCTCACCGATGCTCTCCGTCTGCAGGTAGCACTTGTTGCCCAGGCAATAGCGCCATAAACCCTGGTGGGCAAAGGACCCCGACAGCCGGTACTGCATCCAGTGGTCTGTCGCCGTGGCCACCACCAGGAGGATAGTCCCCACCCAGGCACAGAAGAGGCCGCCACCCATGAAGCTGTACATGGTGACCTGTGGGGAAGGGAAGAGATGGGATCAGGAGATGGATTCCCAGGGTCTGAGGGAGGAGGGGCTGGGGGGCCTGGACTCCTTGGTCTGCGGGAGGATGAACTGAGGACCTAGACCCCTGGGTCCTGAGGAAGAAAGAGCCTGGGGGGCCTGGGGGACTTCCAGGTCCTAAGCCAGGAAGTGGGCTGGGCACTGGGACACCAAAGTCCTTGGGGGAGAAGGAGGCCGGGCCCCTGGGCTTCTCCATCGTAGGTGTGAGGGGATTAGGGGCTGGAATCCCCCCAGGTCCCTGGGGAGAGGAAGGAGCTGGAGGACTGGATGTCTAGGTCTTGTGGGAGGAGGGCACCGAGGGTCCCATGCCTGGTCCCTACCTGAGTGGCGGAGCCTGTCCTGAGCCCTCCGTCTGCCTCAGCCCCTCTGTGCAGACTGAGCCGAGCCAGGTTGCTGGCCTCTCTGCTCCCCGGGTCCCCCAAATCCCTTAAGCCTCCCCACACAATGACCCCACAGCCCAGCAGCTTCCAGCAGAGAGAACTGCAACCGTGGCAGAGGCCCCAAATGGAATTCGCTGAGGCAGGGATCCGGGCACTCCCTCCCCGCAGCCCCTGGACCCTCTGGCCTCTGTCCGTGACCCTCCCAACGACCCTGCCACCCATTCACAGGCCTTGCTCGCCCCACTGAGTGGGCCTGCGCTGGGTAAGCACACACACAGACACAAGACAGAGGGACAGGCATCCATTTATTGTTCAACCAGGACCCCTCAGCCCCAGAAGCAGGAAACAGGGTGGTGTCTGGGTATATTGGGCCCGGAGGATTCTTCGTGGGTGGGGGTCACAGGGCATGTCACAGCTGGGGCTGGGAGAGGAAGGAAGATGTTTTGGGTTTGGGGCTGAGTTTCGGGTGAAGTTAAGGCTGAGGGTTGGGGTGACCTGAAGTAGATGGGGAATGAGGATGAGGTAGCTGGGGATGAGGGACTGGGAACAGGGTACCGAGGATGGGGATGGGAAGGGGTCACAGGGATGGAGAACGGGAGCCCCTGGGTTGAGAATGAGCCAAAGGTTGTCACTATAGCTGGGGATACAGAGAGGCACTGGGTGTGAGGTTCAAGGCTTTTTCCCGCCTGGGATCCTAAACCAAGTCTAGGTTTCACTCCCAGTCCCCACTGCTGAGGCCTTGGTGTAGGGGCAGGAGAGGAATGGGGTAGCTCTGACGAGGCCGAGGTCACCCTAGGCTCCAGGAAAAGCCTCTGGGTGACTCGGAGTGGCCCTCTGGGACTCCACAGTGCTGGGCCCTCAGGGCCCTAGTATTCAGTGTCCCAGTCCTCAGTGGCAGGCGGTGTGGCCAGTGGTGGCTCCGGACCTTGGGCTTCCTTCTTCTGATCCTGGGTAGGTGGTGGTGCTGGTGGTGATGAGGGCGTCACAGGTGGGGTTCTGGGTCCAGCCTCAGTGTCCCCTGCCCAGACCCTCTTTGGCTGCCCAGACCTCCCAGGTCCCCGACGCTGCTGGCCCCAGCCCCAGCCTGGTCTTCGAGGGACATCCCAGCCCCCACGCCCCCTGAATGGCCTCCTGGCGGTGCCTGGCTGGGCGCCGCAAGCCTGCGGGTGGCAGGGGCAGGTGGGCAGGGACTGCTGCAGGGTATAGGCCCCCAGCAGGGCGCTGTGCAGGAGGTAGGAGAGGGCGTCCAGGCGAATGGGGACTGTGACAGAGGCCACGTTCTCGGGGAGCCCCAGGTGGGCTGGATCTGGAGTGCCCAGGAGAGAAGATGGCAGGGTTGAGAAGGGCTCAGTCCCAGGTGATGGCAGGGACAGATTGTTCCTGTAATGCCAAGAGGACAGGTCAGTGGCCTCGCCATCTGCATACCTGTCCCAGCATAGCCTGGCTGCCTCTGTGCCTCTGCTGGGATCCGTCTCTCCATCCTGACTTCGGCGTCTGTCCACCTCCGACGCCCTCATCCCTTCTCCCCCACCCCCTCTCTCTTTTTCCCCTCATGCCTCTTTACAGAGAGACAGGCTGCTCTGCCAGAACTTCAGCATCAGGCAGAACTCAGCTTCAATTCCAGGCTGCCCCGCTCCCTCATGGTGGGCCTCAGGCCGAATTGCTTTCCCACTGGTAACATTAATTTTTCACACCAAAAAAAAAAAAGGGGGGCTTTGGGTGGCTCCCAAGATGCCTGTGAAAGGGCTGGGCCTCCATTCAAGAAGTGCAGGCACTACTCTGGCAAGTATGGCTCAATGGACTGAGTACCAGCCTGCGCGAACCAGAGGGTTCAGGATTTGGTTCCCGGGTAGGGCACATGCCTGAGTTGCAAGCCAGGTCCCCAGTAGGGGGCGCACAAGAAACAACCACACATTGATGTTTCCTCTCCCTCCCTCCCTCCCCTCCTCTCTCTCTAAAAATAAATTAATAATTTTTTAAAGTGCAGGCATTTATTATTACTCAGGACCTATGCCCACTTCTGGCATTTTCTATGCTCCTGGTTCTTTCTAGAAATTTATCTGTTCTACAAATATCTGTTTGTAGCCCTTTCCCTGGTTCTAAGTATCTTTCTCAACTCTGTCACCAAGCTCCTTTAAGATGCTGTTTCTATGTGATGCTACCCAAGTTTTTTTTTCCCTGATACTCTCTCTCTGGGTCTGTTCAACTCTCTGTGATTTGCTCCGACCCCCCTCCGCTCTCTGGGGCTCCGTCCTCCCCCTCCGAGATCTTGAGCTGCTCACCCTTCTGGCCTTGTCCCTTCCTTCTGTTGCTCCATCTTTGCGAGGGTCTCTCCAGTCTGTTCTAGCACCTTCGCCTGGATTTTTCCAGAGCGGGAGGAGGCGGGAGGGGTCTGGGAAGAAAGTGGGCGTGGCGGTATCAGAAATGGGCGTGGCCCGCAGGGCATACGGAGTTTTGGAAAGGAGGGCTGGGAGGGTTCCTTACAGCTTGTTCCTCAGGCCCTCTCAGCTCAGGAGGCGGACCTGGTCTCCCTGAACCCAGGATTGCAGGCTCCCAGACCTTCACTTCTTCCCATCTGTATTCCTGTTTTCTGGGGGTCTTCTTGTGTTCCTTAGGATTAAAGGGACATTTAGACGGAAATTTGGAGGTCTGGACCCTCCCCACACTAGAGGAGTTAGTAGACGGGCGGGGAGTTTTAGGAGCTGGATTCCATTCTAGGCTTTGTCTTTGGACTTCATTTGCATCCTTAAGTCCTTCTCATCTCTATGTTTCAGTTTTCCCATCTGAGAAATGGGGCTTATATTACCTTCCAGGTTCTTGGGAAGTTTAAAGGGTACCACGTATGGAACGTAGTCAACACAGAATCTGAACTATAATTAGTGTCCACAAAAATGAGTTACTCATTTTTGCTGGTAGTCATGGTAGCATTTTATTGAGAAACAATAGTCATTCTTCTGCCCATTCACTCAAGAAGTTCCCAGTGCCTGCTCTGTGCTAGGCGGGGTGCTGGGGATGTAACGCGGGATAAACTAGATGCAGCTCCTACCCCCACAGGTGTTGAAAGAAACAGACAATACACAAACCACACATTTCCTATAAGTACTGCGAAGGTGTAAAGTCGGGGCAAGGGGACACAGAGGCACCGGAAGCAGTTATTTTAGATAAGATGGTTGGGGAGGCACCAGAAGGCCTGGGACTTGAGTATTTTCAGTGGAGGGAACAGCAAATACAAAGGCTTGAGGGTGCAATAAGCATCGTGTTTGAGGGACTAGGCAGAAATGAGGGATATGAGGAGGTATTGGTTGATTAAAAAAAAAATTGCTTGGCCCTGGCTGGTGTGGCTTAGTGGATTGAGTACCCGCCTGTGAACCAAGGGGTCACTGTTTTGATTCCTGGGCAGAGCATGTGCCTGGGTTGCTGGCCAGGTCCCCAGCTGGGGACACATGACAGGCAACCACATATTGATGTATCGCTCCCTCTCTTTTTCCCTTCCCCTCTCTCTAAAATTAAATAAATAAAAGCTTTAAAAAATGTTTGCCCTGGCCTTGTGGCTCAATTGGCTGGAGCATCACCATCCAGTGCACCCCAGGGTTGCCGGTTTGATTCCTGGTCAGGGCACATACCTAGGTAGTGGGGTTTGATCCCTAGTTGGGGCACATAAAGTAGGCAACAAACTGATGTTTCTTTCTCACATTATGTCCCTCTCTTTCCCTCTCTCCTTCTCTGTCTCTAAAAATCAATGGGAATATGTCCTCGGGTGAGGATAAAAATAAATAAATAGTTTTGGAATATTTTTATATGTACAGAAGTTTTATAAAACTAATACAATTAACCAACATCACTCCAATAAACTTAATAAAACCAGAAGAAGATATTTTACTACATTTAAAAAGTGCTCATAGTTGGCCCTGGCTGGTGTAGCTCAGTGGATTAAGCGCAGGCCTGTGAACCAAACAACCGAGGTTCAATTCCCAGTCACAGCACATGCCTGGGCTGCAGGCCAGTTCCCAGCAGGGGACGCATGAGAGGCAACCATACATTGATGTTTCTCTCCCTCTCTCCTTCCCTTCCCCTCTAAAGATAAATAAATAAAATCTTAAAAAATAAAATAAAAAATGTTCATAGTTGTAACACCTTAAAAAACTGTCAAATCCAAGCATATTCTAATAAAATATTTATTTAAACTTGGAAAAAATAGATAATACAGAGTTCCCATATACTCCCCACATAGCTTCCCTAATGTTAGCCTCTTAGATTGTTGTGCATTTGTCACAAGAAACCAACATGATATTAACTAATTCTTACACTGATGCCTTTTTTTTTTTTCTGTTCTAGAATGAAATGCAGGATGCCATTTAGTCATCACTTCTCCTTCGTATTCTCTGGTTAGAGGCAGTTTATCTTTCCTTTTTATCCCCACAATCTTGTCAGGTTTGAGGAATACTAATAGCTATTTTATAAAATAGAGATTTACTTCAATTAATACTTCTAACTCATTAAATTCTCATTTCAGAGAGGATCAAACTATGCCTTGGGGAGGTTAAGTTGCCTAGAGTCACAGAGCTAGTAAGTGGCACGACAGAGATTTGAACCTGGGGCCACCCAGCTCCAGGGTCTGTGCTTTTAATGGAGACGAAAGTAGAAGCCAGAGTGCAAAGGACCTGTCAGCCACACTAAAGACTTTGGATATTTATATTTTTAACTCCTAGAATACTAAGATGATTTTGAACATTTGACATGTTCAAAATCATGTGTGACATGGTTTGATTTGCGGTTTCGGAAGAGCACTGTGTCTGCACTTTGGAGAACGGATTGTAATGCAAAGCAAGTGTAGATGCGTGAAAGCTCTGGGAGGAAGTTGCTATGGTCCAGCAAGGGGTGGCAGTGACACTGAGGTGGTGGAGATGGAAAGATGGGAATGAGTTTGACATGCACAGGTGACCCCTGAACTACATGGGTTTGAACTGTGCTGGTCCACTTATATGCAGATGTTTTTCAATAAATACATACAGTACTGTAAATATATTACCTCTCCCGTCTGAAAATAACATTTTCTTTAGCCTCCTTTATTGTAAAAATACAGTATGTAATACATAGCACTTACAAAATGTGCTAATTGTCTGTTAATGTTTTCCTTAAGACTTCCAGTCAACAGTAGGTTGAAGTAGTTAAGTTTTGGGGGAGTCAAAAGTTACATCCGAGAAAACCCGACTGCACAGAGGTCAGCACCCCTAACACTCCAGAGTCAACTGTCAGTATTTTGGAGGAAGAACTATCAGGATTTGCTGCAGACCTGCTGGTGTGGTTAATAGGGAATCAATGAGGCAAAGTCTTCAGCCTGTACAATCTCTTTGAACACGGACCTTCTTACAACAGGTTCACAACATCCCATTATGGGGATGAAAAAATCCGAAACACCAGCTTTCACTTCCTGAGTTCTCTCGAATCCAGGCCCTTGGCTGGATGATGCCGGTGACACCAAAATGATGCAAAACCGTAACACTCAGGGTGATCAGACCAGGGACACAGGGAGGAACAGGAGCACTCAGAGTCCTAAGCAAGGAAAACAGTGTTGCCTGCTGGCGAAGAGTGGAGGATGAGGTCGGGGAGGTGTTTTTAGAGGAGGTGATCCCTTCCTGATTAAAAAAAAAAAAAGTTTTATCAAGAAGGCAGGCTTTCCTTTGCTGGAGGCTATGATTAGGACCTGGGTCTCCCAATTATAAGTTTGGAGCTTATGTATAGCCAGGGCTTGTAACGGTTTGAATCCTTGCATTTACCAGCGCGTGACCTAGCATGCTGCTTAGGCACTATGAGCGCTCACTGCTCAATTCTGGTGTAAGGGTTCTGCTCCTGGTTTGGTTTTGTTAGGTTTCCCCGCGATCACGGTCTGATTTCTTCACGGACCACGTACCTGCCGCTTTAGGGTTCCCTCCCAAGCTAGGAGAGACGAGGCAGGGTCTTGCGCCTCTAAAGAAACGCCTTTTACTTAGATTTCAAAATGAAAAGCCAGGTTCTGAAAAGTGACCAAGATGTGAAGCTTCCGATTCGCCGGGGACTCTTTAGCCCTGCCCACCGCTTGTTCTGTAGGGCAGCGCGTGACACCATCCTCAGTTCCGATTGGAGGGTGAGCTTGAGTTGCTTCCGACGCTGTCTTCGCCCTTTGATTGGCAATGTTTCTGAACTCCAGCCTCTCTCGCGCCCTCTGATTGGCTGTCCTCTTTCCGCATCTACATCCTGGCAGTAGTAACTGACAGTTTCGCTTTGCCCTCTAGCGGTGGCAGTAGTCCGGGCTCCCGAAGGTTGGTTTCGGCTGTGTCCGGGAGACGCAGCCCAGGACTTGAGATCCGATCTAAGCTTAGGGAGGACGGCGGTGAGGCAGCCCTGGGCTGAGGGACCAACCCCCCTCTCAGTAACCTCCACAGGCAGCGGACAGTCAGAGACACAAGATTGGACTTTAAGGGCCTCCACTGCGCACAGGGCTCCCGGATTCCTTCAGGATGTCCTTTACCACCACTTTCGGCCCCGCCGGGAAACCGTGGGGATCCTGAGCTCTCCCTTGGGACTTACCCACTTCCTCAGCACAATGTGGGTTGGCGACCAGGGCCTCCAGGTCCTGGGGACTCGGTCACTGTCGCCCCTATGGGCCTTTACATCCTCTCTTTCACCCTGTGAAGGGCTCTCACCTCACTCTCCCCTCCCAGCCCCTTAAAGGCCCAGAGGTCACTTTTAGACTTCGACCCGAAAGTTCTTCACCCCTCATTTCTAGACCGCAGACTCCAAAGATGGGTCTCCGGGCGCTCCGTCAGGAGTCACACTTCCTGTTGATGTTTTCCATCCTCCCTCCCCTAGCGTCTGGGTCTTTCAGGATGGAAATGGGACATCCCCACCCCAGGAGTTCAGCTTCCCCGTTTCCACATTCTTCCAGGTCCTCACTCCCTTGAGAAGTCTTGGGACCCTGCAAGTTCTAGGGGGACGGCCATATTGAGGGCCCCCTACTCTTTCAAGATTTTACTTACTTATTTTTAGAGAGGAGGCTCGCCCCCTGCTGGAGACCTGGTCTGCAACCCCAGCATGTGCCCTGACTGGGAATCCAACTGGCAGTTTTTCAGTTCACTCAGCCATCCTGCCAGGGCAAGGGTCCCCAGTCCTTCAGGAGGCCCCAGGGGGCCTCCTTCAGTATCCAGGGGGAGGTGGTCTGCAGGGACATCTCTACCTTCAGATCCATATTCCTTACTCCTGTTCTTAGGATCCACCCTTCACTACCACTCTCCCTTCCCCCTGTCCCTGCCTTTTTGTGTTTTACTGACACTTTTAAAA